ACTTGAATTTATATGACGTACTGTAAGGTCGGCAGCAAACTGAACAAACATCATCACTGGCAGAAGGTTCTGTCATTATCTGATTAACATTATAGTAATCGCTGTAGTAATGTCCTTCATTAACACAATTGATCGGGCAACGATTAGTCGTTTTCACGCCGTGCAGCATTGGAGGATGTGGTTCTCTTGGCTTCACCTTGACCTTCAGCCCGGGCGGTTTGAAGCAGGTGGGATGAGAGTGAGGGGAAGATGGAGCGGGAGACTGACAGGTGGATTGGTGCGGTGTCAGAAGTTGTACCAGGCTGGGGAGGGAGCTGAGCCGGGAGGACCAGAGCGATCAGTCGATCTTTGTTCTGACCCTCATCTCTGGTCATGAGCTCTGGGTAATGACCGAAAGGATGAGATCATGGATACGAATGAAATGAGTTTCCTCCGTAGGGTGTCTGGGCTCAGCCTTAGAGATAAGGTGAGGAGTTCGGACATCTGACGGGAGCTTGGAGTAGAACCTCTGCTCTTTCGCGCCAGAACGAGCCAGTAGAGGAGCTTCGGATATCTGATTCGGACACCTTCCTTTGGAGGCCATCCAACTAGGAGCAGACCCCAGGGTAGACCCAGGACTTGCTGGAGGGATTAGCTACATATCCCACCTGGCCTGGGAAGGAGGAGCTGGAAAATGTTGCTGGAGAGATGGACGTCTGGAATGCCCTGCTTACTCTGCTGCCATCGCGACCCGACCCCGGATAATCAGAAGAAAGTGAACGGACGGAAAATCTGAAGATCTCAAGAAAGATGTTCCACCAACAACCAGGGCTGAAGATCTCAGCACGCTGCCACTGCCAACCTGTGCAGCTGCAGTGTCCACGACACTGGCAGTTGGTAACAATAACACACTAAGTCGCACTTTACACAGCAGTGAGAGCCGGAAACCAATCTACAGGAAACAGAAAAAGACGACGGGAGGAGAAAACAAAGCAGAAGGAGTTTCTAGTGCAGGGACAAGGAGGACATAATCCCACACTGGCTTCCCACCTGCACCGAATGGTCTGAGCCTTGATTTTTAATTTATAGTGTTGTACGTCCTCAAGATCCCACCTGTAATAAAAGAGCAGATGTTCGTGGTCTTTGTGTGGCATGTCAGTAACTGTGCCTTATTAGAGTTAGAACCTGATCATTTTTGTTCAGGGTTATTATTATTTTTCTGCCAAATCAGCTCAAATTCCTGTGAACTGGAATGAGCTAAAATCATGAAACTTGGCACAATGACTGGAAATGTTGCGTATGAGCTTCCCAAGAAATTTGGTCCCAATCGGCCACATGGTGGCGCTGAAATTGAGAAGATTTTGGAAAGGCCACGCCCCTCGTACCATTTGTCGATTGATTGGAAATTTGACGCACAGATCCAGTTCAATGTGTTGTACAAAAAAGCCTCTTGGACCATAAAAGTTTGCCATGATGGGTTTTTGCTAATTAGCATAATGTGGAAAAACAGGTTAAATGAATAGAACTTTTTGAATTTTCACTTTAGCAAATTTGGTATAAAGTCTAGAGGGAGATGCACATTTCTATTAGTTTTTTTTTTTTTTTACAAAAATTACTTAATTTTTAATGCTTTTTTCTTCCTCTGAGTTAAAAACGAACTTTGATAATCTATCGGACACAACTTTAGGATGTGCACATCCATCAAAAGAGCAACATTTATGCAGATAATGTTAATGACGTGCATTGCAACATTCAGTAAGGGACCTTTCTGTCAACAGCTTCAGTAACTGTAGACTTCCTGAGGAAGTTATTTCCACATTAACTTGTCTCCTCATTCAAAAGCATTTACAGTCCTTTTAGTGAGAAGTGCATCTGTGACATAAAGGCTGTAACTGGACAAGTCCAGTGATGAAATGTGTTGCCACAGCCTCGCTTTCTCTTCCAGAGAAGTTAAGATTTCAGTTCACGGTTCAACAGAAGTTTGTGTATTTTTATTGGAGGTGTAAGGCGTGTCTATGCTGGTGCTGGGGTGTGTGTGTGTGTGTGTGTGTGTGTGTGTGTGTGTTTTGTGTTATGAGTGTATCTGTGTGTGTTGCAGGTAGTTTTCTGTTAAAGTAGTAAAGTATGTGACCATGAAGAGAGTCCAACAACAGACCGGAACTTTGTCTTTGGAGCAGAAACTGTAGCTCCATGGAAAAGATGCTTCTCAAGGACAAGAGCAGTGATCGGTAACAACACGAGCATTCTTCTTCTTTGTTTATTTTAATGACCGTCCAGCTTCTGCTGATAACTCATCATCTTTCTGCCAATCACATTTGTGCAACCTGTTTCCTGTTCGCTGGTGTTCGAGTGCATTAGAGGTTTCCTACAGGTGTCTCCCTTCTCCCCGAGGTTACATCAGTTATATTAAGATATATTCTTACTTATATTAAACAAAACTTTCTTTTACTATTAATTTGATTAAGTTGTAGTTTAGATTATTTATGTCTTCCAGAATTTAAACTCATGAGTTCATATATAAATGTTTAGAAATATGTTGAGACTTGAACATTATTTTGCTGTCTATGTCGCTGTTATAGGCCAACAGAGCCACAGGCGTCAGCATATGAAGAACATGTATTCCTGCTGCGGAGGCTTGGAAACACAGATTAGATCTTTAAATTGGAGGGATTCATGACCTCAGGGTTTCGTGTCTGTCTGCCTGTCTGTGGCTCTGCTCTCACCACCTGAAGCACGACTTAAAGTCGAGCTCTAACGTGTGTTTGGATGCGATGCTTCAATTTCCTACCTGTGAAATTACCAAGAACTGAATCAGGATTTCACCAGAAGTCTGGGAGTATTTTAGTGTGTGTGCGTGTATGTGTGTGTTTTTCTGCAAGTGTGTGTTTACGTTTTTGTGTGTGTGTGTGTGTTCCCCAGAAATACTCTGGAGTGACGTGTCACTTCCTGTCCCAGCAGTGTTCGCCAGGCAGCCGGTGTTGTGATGACGGAGGTGATTAAGACTCATTTAGAAACTGGTCTGAGGTCTGTTCCTCAGTTTGAACACAGCGCTTGTTTCATCCTGCTTGGAGAACCAGGCGGGTGGAGTTGGACACGCCAGGACAGTTGGGGTTGTGCAAGGTGAGTTTAAACTCTGGCCTGAGTTCACTCACTGGTGTGCAAGCCCCACCCACCTGGTGCTCCCCAAGGTAAACAATAAACAAACAAACCTTGTAAAGCAACATTAACCAGGAGAATCAACTTCCTGTCAGTTAGTTTTCACTATGTGATCAAAAGTATTTGGACAGTGCAAGACAGATTTAAATGTTGTGCTCAATATAACTGCAGACAAGAGGTTTTAAATCCAGGTTCATGTCAGTGAAATCACATTCTGTTTGTCATTTCCTGCTACAGACTTTGTTTGGATCAGGATATACAGCGGTGGTTTGGGAGAGGGGTTAAAAATCTTCTTTATCAGGAAGTGGAGGGAATATTTCTCCTTCCAGACGCCTGAGAAAAGGTTGAATCCCCAACACTGAGTTTATTAGAGACATGCATCATCTCTATAAATACTTTCTGTCTGCTGACACTGTGAGAGCTGGATCTTTTCTTTCACATGATTTCATCATGTCTCCGCGCTGGCGACGGTCAGACCAGCAGCCATCTTGTTTTCAGGTTGACCATCCGTAAGTCTCATTCTCGTGGACGAGATGTCTCAGTAACGTCTTGACAGAACTTCTTCAAATTTGGCTCAAACATTCACCTGGACTCAAGGATGATCTGATTAGATTTTGATGGTGGTCAAAGGTCAAAGGTCAAGTGGTGTGACCTCACAAAATGCTGTTTTGACCATAATTCGTACACTCATTATTACAACTCAAATGTCTAGTGTGTAAGGGTAAAATGATGAAGTGATGACATTTTATATCCAAAAGGTCAAAGGTCAACTTCACTGTGACATCATAATGTTCTGAAAAAAAGAGTGTGTTGATTAATGTCCTGCAACTTAACTGGTTGACGGAGGCGTTCAACCACACGTGGTGATTCTAGTTTAAATACATTTTGACCAAATTGAGTCAAAAATACGCAACATTTCATCAGATATCAAATATCAGATATTTTCTTATAAATAAGTCTGTGGACACTTTATATTATTGTTCCTGTTAAATTAAAAAGATTTCCCTCCGTGGAAAAACCTCACAAACCATGATTTTGCCTTGTGTATGTAACCTGCAAACAGTCTGAGTGGCGGAGTCAAACAACCACAAGGAGGTGATTCAAGTTTTATCTTCTAAGAATACATTAAAGCACTTTTGATGACTGATAGTCCGTCCGGTTTCCCAGAAGTCTGCAGGAGTGAAACGGTCCGGTTCCACTGCTGGTTTGCGTCAGTGTCCTCTGCATCAAGATTAACTTATCATTCACCTCGGCGTGGAGGAGGAAGGGAAAATGAAAGAGAAACCTTGGGCAGATTATGTAACCGCTCAGTCTGATGCCGCCGTGGTCAGATTGAGGAACTGTGAGCATCAACGCAACCAGACCACAGATTTCTAATATGATGCAGGTGAAACGGAGTTTACGGGGTCGCTCTGACACGTCCGTGACTTCAAACTGACCTCGGGACCTTCACTGAAGGGGAGTAATATCCCAGAAGGCCCGTTGTTTCCTGCAGCATGATTAATGATGTGCACAATCACAGGAAACACATGACACACGAGGCCTTTTGCAGTTTCAATACATCCGTTACCACTGCACTTAATTCATTAAGTCAATGAAAACGAAGATTTCAAGATCAGCAAAAAACTAATGAAGTTAATGTCATGTTCTTTAACTTATTGTTTGTCTTTGTTTTTGAAAATGTTTTTGTACAAATTAAAACAATTTCAACCACTTTTACAGCTGCATCAAATTTATTGTCCCTCATGCCGACAGGTTCTGTCGGACATGAAAAGTCACTGGTTTGTATTTCAATAATTATCAAGCGGTGTTCAAATCTACAAAAACTTTATTTCAAATTCTCTACAGATCGTTCACACAAATGATTTGTAAAACTGTATTTTATGGAAATGTGTATAGAAACATCTACAATATTTACATCATGTGAAACGGTGCATTCAGAAAACACAAAACAACAAGATGTCGTCTTTGGTTTGAATATTTCTTCAGGTGGAAACATCCACGAGTTTCAGTGAAGTGTTGGTTCAAATAAATCCAGAGTGGGAAAATGTTTTAAGTTGATTTAAAGGGTTAATAAAGGATGATGGGATATAGTATACCCCTATATCAGCTGCCAGTGTGCGTAGACTTGTTTATCTCATCTCTGATTTATAAAGCATAAACATATTATTTAACATTATTATATTGTGCTTCCTCAGAATATGTGGATCCTTTATAAAGACGCATGCTGACTTTAGAAGAAGAAAAGAGTGATACAGTGGCGGTTGTTTCCACCTCTGGAAACAGCTGTTGAATGAATGAATGAAGGTTGATGCTGAATCCTAACACAGGTCAATGTACTCCAGCACTGACACGGCGCTGAGTCAGCTTTACTCAGTTACTTTCAAATGAATCCAAATCAAACAAAACAAAATCAAATTAAACATTTCATTTGAGAGAATCAAACACTTTGTAACTATTGCATCATTTCTTATTCCACCACTCCTGTGTCTTTTTCAATAACTTACTCACTCTCTAATAAACAGAGTCTGCAGTTATTCATGTTATTCTTATGACTGTTGCGTCACTGGATCAAACTAACTCATTATTGTGTCATCGGGTTCAAACCTGTGACATGGGTTGAAGTTGACTTTAACATTATTATCACCTCAGTATCAGAACATGGCTGCTCTTCTTTCAGAAATCGATGTGAACATTAATGAATAATAATCTACATGTTTCAATAGATCACTGTACAAACAGGTCAGAAGACTGACAATGTCCAGATGTTCCAGTGGATTTATGAAACGTACGAAGTTATGCATTTGTTTTATTTCTTTGTTTGTTAGAATATTAATAATTAATTGTTATTAATAATACTACAAATAAAGAGATATTGTTATTTTAATTGGGTCGAAGTGAGCAGGTTTAGATTTTCTTCAGATCAACATGATACAAACTGACTTTTATTTATTGATTGCTTTGGAAACTTGCATCCACTCAAACAGCAGAAAACAACAATAAACGGGTTAATGGATGAATGACATTCAGCAGTTTGGACTATAGTTCTTCACTTGAATCAGATCCGTCTGAACATAGTTTTACTGTATCTACATTATGAACATGTTTAACCACCAGAGGGCGCTCTGCTCTCTCTCCACTGTGGTTATAGAAGCTGCCAGCAGAGTTCAGCAGCGCCACACACCTGGTGGCAGCTGCTCCATCCCTGATCATGGTGAACGTCGCCCCCCAGAGGTCTGATGCTGCGTTACACTCCTCGCCTCAGACAGAACAAGCTGCCATGTTGTCGGGCTGCAGGCCGGACGAGGAGGAGGAGGAGGAGGCGAAGAGGCAGTGCATGATGGGACAGAGGGGCTCATGGGCTCTGAGGGCTTCAGTCAGCAGGTGATGCTCCTTGGACAGAGAATCCACCTGGAAGATAAGGTGATTATTTTATTCCACTTCAGTTGGTTTCATTTCACTTAGTGTTAATGGATTTATGGTCGATGTAAACCCCTCTGAACCTTCCCTCTCCTCTGAAGGAGTTTATCTCTGTTCCTGTGTCATAAAACATGATATTATTCCAATAATGAGATTATTTGAAGCACCTCTCTCCTCAGTTTTCTGTTCCTCTGCTCCAACAGCTCACAGGCCTGAAGAGAGGAGGAGGAAGAAATCATCAGTGAGTGACGGGATTGGATGGAAGCTTTTGTCACTTTTAGTTTTTGCTTCTTTTTTGTTTTTTTACATTTACTGCAGATACACTCGTCATGAACGTCCTATGAACTCCTGAATTTTACACATAAAAATGACATTAGGGAGATCAGCTCCACCTGTGACATGAATGTATTATTTTCTCTGTGGTTCTGGAGGAACTTTTCAAGCCCTACAAAATAATAATAATGGTGATAACGTCAGAAATAAGGTAAAGTTAAAGAGGGAAGACACACAATATACTTAAGTATAAAATAAGGATAACTAGAGAGACCGGACGCAGTGTGAAAGGATGATAAACAGACGATTAAAAGATGAGGAGATGAAAAACATCCACGGATGATATTTTGTTCTGGAGTTGAGACCTGCTGTTTTTTAATAGAGCGTCTCTGAGTGTGAGTGATGTGGTTGTTTACCAAGCAGGAAGGATCTTAATTAGTTGAACTACTGAGGTCTGGGAACTTTGGGATCCAGTGATTTGGGAGTAAGAATCAGGATATCTCGACCTCTGTTGTCCTTTATGGAAGGACAGTAAGTGGATAAATGAAGCTTTTCACCTTAAACACAAATCTAACCTTCATCCTGAAAACCAAGTCGCAGCTCTCAAACTCAGACCGGTGAGGAACAGACAAGATGTCATGGAAGTACAGCGTGCGCGCACACACACACACACACACACACACACACACACACACACACACACACACACACACACACACACACACACACACACACACACCTCGTGCAGCAGGTCGGCTCTCTGTGTTTGTCTCTTGCGGCTCTTCTGAGCTGCAACTCTGTTCTTCTCCCTCCTCTTCATCCTCCTGCCTTCGTCCTCTGACCCCTGACACACACACACACACACACACACACACACACACACACACACACACACACACACAAATAATAATATAAACACTGAGAATATAATTAAATGCAACTAATCCCCTCGTTCAGTTGGGACGTCTCATCTTTCTCTCACAAACCACAGACCTGAGTTTTAGTGACCGTAAAGATTCTGTGCTTTAATCTCATTCAAAATCCCCCTCCTCTTTGCGCCCATGACCGCTGACCTCACCGTGGCAACAAGGAGCAGTTCACAGCTCAGACGAAGAGCTGGCCGCAGCAGTAAAGGTGGCGTGATCTTACCTCACAGGTGTCACACAGGAGGTCATTCCTGCTGCTCTTCTGACAGGACGAATCACAGTCTGACATCACAGGTTTCTGACGCACACATTAAAAGGAGAGAAACAGGAGGACGTCCTGCTCACCGGCTCTGCTACAAAATACAAGGTGTTAGTTAGTGTGACGGAGTCCGGCGAAGTCAGAACAATCAGGCCGGAAAACAGGCTGCACAGTTTCACTTCAGCTTTCTTTTCACTTTTCAAAGTTGTTGCCAATTTAGAAGAAGCAGTGAGGACGGTTCACATAAGTCATGTGACCCCGGGGCCAGAACATTTGTGGACTGATGGAGGGTTTTGACATAAACTCATCAGTGACACATGAAATAATAACACATGACACAATAAACCACAGACACAGCACAGGAGTGTAGGATGAAAAAAGTTTTTATTACCAGTAAACATATTTACAGGTTCTTAAAGCTCCATGTTTTCTTCTTCTCCTGTGTTTTATTTGAAGTGTTGAAGTCCTTCCTGATGGAACCGGTTTTGGGGGAACCGGGAATCGAACCACCAACCCAGGGATCAGCAGCCAACTCTTCCTACTGTGACAAGTCTAAATGTTCATGTAAACAAAAGCTCAAGCATCATCATCACCCAGATCTGGGGTAAGTTGATTCTAGTCAATGTGTAACTTGAATTTGGGGGTTGAGATACCAATTGACCCTTCAAAATAAAACTTCAGTGTCGTCTGCTGTAATCAACAAACCTTGTTTTCTTACAGCTCCATCTTTTCTTCTTCTTCTGTGTTTTATTTGAAGTGTTGATCCATCAGAAGATATAAAAACCATCTCAGTGTAGTTTTACATCTCCTCTCTCAGGCTTCTCTCTGCAGCTCTAGTAACAACAGGTCGGTGAGCCAATCAGAAGAGAGGAGGCTCTGAGCCTCTTTTCTGATTGGCTGACTGCTTTCTGAGCGATCCAATAAAAAATATAGCAGATTTCAGGTAAAAACACTCAGAGAAACCAAATCCTGCAAGGTTTGGATGGTGGGTCCAGGTGGGCGGGGCTTGGTGACTGCTTTGTTGTGACATCACAAAGTTCCAGAAGTCCTGACGGCTGGTTTTAAGGCTCAGTTTCTGAATACAGGCTGTGTGCATTTCTCTGTGGACTGAGGCTTTGATACTTTCACAGTATTAATATAGAAGCTAGAGCTGATCTATAATCACACTACACATGGACACAGACCTTTACACTGGAGGAGCTTTAACTTGACCATAAACTGACAAATGTGAACCAATGTTTAAAAAGGGGAATGAGAAAACATGAACAGAATGAGCAGGAGTCAAGTCATGTTTGGGGTTTCATCTGATTCACTGTAGTTTCTTTTTACTTTATTGTTTCAGCATCAAAACTCTGCAAGATCCGTTACTGTCACATTAACAGTGATTTACTTCCATGTGTAATAAGATAATCAATAAGAGAATCCTCTGCCCAGAGGTTCAATCAGTCAGACACTTTTTGCAAATGGAGGAGCAAACAACCAGTTTTATGTTTGTTTCATCAGGAGGAGAACAGCGCCCTCTTATGGTTTCCCAGCAGTAGAAATATAAGACATAGAACCTGAAGAAGACATATTTACAATGAGTCATATCCTGTTTCTCCACTGCTGCCAGTTATTTCAACAGCTGAGCAATAAAACTGGGTAAAAACAAACTTGTTAGTTCATGACATCACACCATCATCTTCTTCTGTGGTGACGGCCACAGGAAGTGTCACTCCGGTTCTCCCTCTCCTGTGGGGCAGTCTGGTTTCTTGGCGAGGGGCACGTAGCAGTCTGTGGCCGCCGCCTCCTCCACGGCTCTCTTGATTGGCTGCTTGTTCCTTTCCGCAGCTCCCGCGGCGGGCAGCGGAGCGTCCGATTGGCCGTTGTAGCCGAACACTTCCCTGTGGATCTCCAGAGTGGCGTGACTCGGCTTCATGTTGAGGATCTCACAGAGGCCTTCAGCTTGTTTCTGCAGAGTGTTGATCGACTGCAGAGAAAAAACAAACGTGTCAATAAAGTTTTTACACATAGATCCATTTAATGCTCATTAAACTGACAGGTCACCTTGATAACCTGGATGGCCTGTTTCACCATCCCAGGAGCTGCTGCTGACAAATCACCCATGATGCTCTCTGGTGAAACAAACACACAACACGTTCAAATCATCAGATTTTCCACATGGCTAATAATTAGCTTCATTAGCTTTATTGGCCTCCAAAGCAATCATGACATAGATGCATCAGTGCAGGACATTTCTAATATTGATGTTCATGTATGTCACAATATGGAAAATATGTAGAATCACAAAATCAATGATGTTTCAGTCTCATGCATTAAAGCAAATCAGACCAAACTCCATTTAAAAAACTGCAGATCTATTTAGGGATTTTCCCCAAACATCAGCAGGACGGAGGGAAACCGCAGGAATAATGTGTTCACTACACGTGCAGTTTGATAATTGTGGACCGCTGCATCGTGTCCTGACGTGTCCAGAACCTGCTGCTACCTGTTTACAGTCTGTTCAAGGCGACTGAAACTCACAAGGTGAACAAAGAGCACTGATGCATTTAGGCATTTCAGTTCAGGGAGGGCGAAACTTTCAAATGCTCGGGTTAAAGAGAAGTAGTTCTTCCTGATTATATGAAAGCAAGAAACTGTCCGGTGTAAACTGCACGGTAGATCTGTGTGTACACACAGGAGTGAGTATACAGCATTTCAAACACTGCCTCACACCACAGGGAAATGTAAGATATAACACGATTTTCTCACACAGGAAATAATTGTGTTATTTTATAAATCATGGTGATGATAGTCGTAGTCACTGGCAGAACATTTTCCTGTTGATGTCTCCAACTTCTCAAATGTTTTTTTCTTCAATCATCTTTTATAGAAGACCAGAGAAAACGAAAACACTCAAATTAAAAACGTGTGTGTGTGTGTGTGTGTGTGTAACTCATCAGAGATGCAGTAACTACCTTGATCAGGGTCCTTGACCACCTCTTGAGGTTTGACTGCATGTTCATACAGCCCCTGAAAAACAGACAGAACGGCACAGAGCAGCAGATGTTAAAGGACAAATCAGCTCTGGACGGTTCCTTTACAGTGATGTATGTTCTTTTTCAGTTGTATTTATTTCATATATTTATATGTGTGTTTTTTCCCTTTTTTGCACAAATAGATAAAGTGAAACTTGTAATAATCCGATAAAATCCACTGAGGGTAACGTGTAATTATAGACTTCAGTCACAAAATACCATGTCGTTGATACTCACTTTTCATTCTACATTTTACATCAGTAATAATACGTGTGATCCAGACATTGATTTCTCAGACAGGACATCAATTTATGAAATCTGCTTTTTAATCCCTATGTATATGTTTAGTGCAGCGGTCTGTGGTCTGTGACCCCCCCCACTGTCAGTTCCCCCAGACTCTGACACCCACCATGAGTTTCCGTTCAGCCTTGAGGGAATGGACCACATGTGGAAGGATCTGTCTCGGGTACGTACGGCGCCTCCTGGTGGTCTCAACGATGGTGTCATCCAGGAGGCTTCCCAGATCGACGTCCTCATCCTCTGCTCAGTGCGACAGCGGAGACAGAAACTGTAGTTTATTAAACGGGCTGATGAAAACAGGTTGTATGGAGTTTGAGAGGAGATAGTGACTCACCTTCAACATCAGGCGCCTCCTCCCAGGGCTGTCCATTCACCAACACATTCTCCTGAACTGCTGCCTCAAAGTTCTGCACAGATACAGAGACTGATCACTACTGAACACACGTCTGACAAACAGCACAAACACAGTATCACAAATACAGCAGATATACTTCATAAACTGCTACTGAAGGCACCATTTTCTAATTTTATTATAGATGAATCCTTTAAGGCCCAATGTGATGTCAAAGTGATTTGCTTTACATAATCAGTTTACTATCACAAACAAAAGCAGCAAATTCTCACATTTCAGATGATGGTTCTGAGGAGTATTTGGTTTATCTTGCTCCAAAATTACTTGCTTGATTAACGGATTATTAAAATAGTTGCAAACTCTTTTTCTGTCCATGAAGTTTTGATTAACTGACTAAACATTTTGACTCTACTCATTTCCATTTACTTAACACAGTACTCACAGTAGCACTGTAAATCATATATTGCTTTATTCTGATGCAGACTGTTGGTAGATTTTAACTGTTAGCCTGAATGTCTGTTAGCTTAAATTATTTTATATAAATAAATGTTGCTGTCCTCATATCATTTCTAAGCCGAAAGTATTATTCCATCTCAACAAATATCTGAAAGGCCTTAAATGTTGTTTTTGCTGGAGTGTGTGGACGTTAACAGCTAAACAAACACTAAATACGAGATTTTCCGAATGGGATCTGGTGTAATTTCACAGCCGGTTCTGCGCACTTGCGGAAACAAAAGTCCGCAAAAAACCAACGCTTAGCGGTTTGTTGATACTTGACAGTAACAGTTCAGTTGTCCCTGAATTATCTAAAATGACAGTTAGTGACATTAAGATGTAAACGGTTCATGTTGACTCACCGCCAGCAGCTCCTCCAGTAAAACTCGCTTCGTGTCCTCGGCGATGTCCGTCTGTCCGCGGAGAGCCGTCTTCAGAATGTCTTTGTATTTATTTATCTGCCCGACGACTTGTTTCTTCGACCTTACTTGAACTCTGTATTCTTGGTTTGTCTCATCACTAGACGAGCTTTCAGTCTCCACGGTTGCCATTTTTACCGCCAACTGTGTTTATATATTTTTTTTTTTTTTTTACGGAAACCGGAATTGAACTTCTAACTTCCGTGTCCGCCTGCTAAGCCCCCCCCCCGGAACAACACCGCTGGCATCGCAGAACTGTTCCACCCGGATGTTAGCTGTGCTTCGACAGACGAAATCAGCAAATATTGCAGTTTTTCTACATTATTTCTGTCTTATCTTTTATTATTTTGATTTTAAATGGAACATGGTTTCGTTGACTGTCACTGTCACATATCAGCTCGTGAGTTTGAAGAGGTAGGCTCTCAAATAAGCCTGTACAGATAACTAGCACTAAGCTAGCTAATATAAACAACAGGAAAAACTTAAAAGTATGTCGCCCAGTTAATATCACAAATATTAATTTTATCTTTTAAAAGATATATGCACACTACAAATAATACAGTCATATTACAGTTGATATTTACAAGTTTTCATGCACATTTAGTTCTGTTTATTTCACTGCTGCAGTTTTTCTTTCTTTGCAGGATCTGGAGGATGTGATCCAGAGGACCAGAGAGGTCAGTTACAACTTACTGAACATACACTGTAACAGGGAATTCAACTTAGAGATATGTTCTAGTTAATACATGTATATATTTCATAGCTGCTTATATATATATATGTGTGTGTGTGTGTGTGTGTGTGTGTGTGTGTGTGTGTGTGTGTGTAGGCCGGGGTAAAGACTCTGATTGCAGTTACAGAAGAAGTCGGGGAGTTTAACAGAGTTTTACAGCTGCGGCAAAGGTCTGTGTATCTTCAGTGTTATGTAATCAGTTTTAGGACATATATATATATAGTGTCTGTCTCATAAACTCATATCATGTAGTATCTTATATTTATAGTCTGCTGACGTCATCAGCTTCTCAGTTAGAACGCAGGAAGTTCTGATGCAGCAAATACATAAAAAGTTATAAACCTTATAAGATAATGTGATATAAACGGGGTTAGAGAGTTCATTAAGTACAGAACCTTTTCTCTTATGTAACTCATGCACAACGTATAGAGTAAATGTTTTTACATTGTCTCATATAGCTGCTCTCAGCTGGAAGGCCTCATGGTTATTATTCTAGGTGTTTCTTCTCTCACAGCTATCCAGATCTGGTGGCTCCATGTTTCGGGATCCATCCGCTGCAGGGCGGTGGGGGGCCTGAGCAGTGCAGCGTGAAACCTCAGGTAGTAAAACATGCGACACCACATCCGTCCTTTGATTATTTTACTTTAGTGATTCTGAGAAAGTGAGGAGAGAAACAGTATCCAGGCTGCTCAGTGGTGTCCCAGCTGAGGAAAACAGTGTGAGGGAGGGTGTTCCTGAGGACTCTGGAGGGGATGAAGGCGTATTTATTATTTTTCAAGCCATTATTTAAGGAACTAAATTCACATACAGTTGTTCATACACGTATCGCAACAGAGACCCTGGACTTTGATGTAAAAATAAGGATAAAGTTTCCTCATAATTTTCACTAAATAAACTTTGGTCTCAGGTGACGTTGTGATCTGCTTCAGGGTTTCATGTTTCATCTTTGGCAGCAGACTGAAATTTAATGTTTTTTTCGCTGATTTGATACAGGGCTGTTGGAGGTCAGCTGAGCCTAGATTAACTGGTGTTAATACGACTAATACTTATAACAACAAGCTGCTGTTACACAAGTTCCCACCCGATATGAAAATATTTAGATAGTAGTAATAAATTCAGAGGCTTAAAGTGGAGTTTAAAAATGAGCAAAATTTCATCAGATTCATCAGAATCAGAAAACTTTAATGATCCTCACAGGGAAACCTTGAATGTCTTTAAATGAACTAAATACATGATGCAGGTTGTAATGTATTTCTCACAGGACCTGGATGCTGCCCTGCCACTGTTCTACGAACACAGAGAGCGTCTCGTTGCTATTGGAGAGGTACACACACACACACACACACACACACACACACACACAGACAGTCATTGACATCATACATGTACTGTAACCATGAACCATCAAACAGTCCTTCAAAGTGATGAGGCCAAGACCGAACGTCCTCACTCTCAAGGTCCTAAACTCTAATTGACCGGTACACACACTCCATGTGTACAAACACAGACACACACAGACACACACAGACACAGACACACACAGACACAGACACACACACACACACACACACACACACACACAGACACGTGGCTGCCCCCCCAGTTAACAAATCCTAACTTTAATGTGACTTCTGGAAAAGCAAAAAGGATTAAACTTGTTAAAACTCTCAGCTAACCTCTTTAATCCTCTTTGTTAGGAAAAGTTAATGATCACAGTCAGTCACAGTCTTTCTCATGCACTTATACGTACACACACACACACACACACACACACACACACTTCATCCTGTCCAGTCTTGAATGCCGTAGAGCCCTGTAGATCCTCCCGTGTGGGGAATGTGTCTAAGTCAACAGTCCCAGACTCTTGTTTCCATAACCGTTATATTTGTAGATAAGGTTAGAGGCTCAGCGAGGTCCGGCCCTGAACACACTGAACGCATTTCATTCATCCACAGTGTGAGACTAGAACCTCTTTCCCACATGCAGTTTACTTGCTTAAGAAAAAGTCTCTAAATTTAGCTACAAATGCGCTAAGGCTACGTTCACACTACTACATATTAGTTTGAAAACACATCTGTTTTGTTATGTTTCCTCCTCACATCCACGTGACTCCAGAGTTTTCAAGCCCCTAAAACGGAGACTTTCAGGTATTTTGAAAACTCTTGGGTTGTTTTATTTTGAAAACTCTGGGGTTGTTTTATTTTGAAAACTCTGGGGTTGTTTTATTTTGAAAACTCTTGGGTTGTTTTATTTTGAAAACTCTGGGGTTGTTTTATTTTGAAAACTCTGGGGTTGTGTTGTAGTGTGGACGGACAGAAACTGAGACCTTTGGAAACGATGACGCAGGTGAATGGTCATGTATGTATTTTCAGGTGTGTTAGTCTGGACAGAGATTTCTGTTGTTTTAAAATGAAAACGTATTTGTGTGGTCATAACACTTCCTGTAAACACCCCCTAATAGCAACAGCCAATGGGGAAACTCCATCAGTCAGTCAGTCAGTCAGTCACAGACATACAGAGCTCCAGTACTTGAATTTAAATGTTTGTTTTATTGTCTGTGCATTGAAAGAACTTGGTCTCAGTTTTGTAAAAATAGATATTTAAAAGGAAAATGTTGAAATGTTTTGTTGTTATTTCATCGCAGGAAATGTTAAAAACACATTTCCAGTGGCTTAGCTGAGTCCTCTGTTTCTTTCACAAGTCACGTGTTTTCTCTCCATGTTCTGAGAGAATTCAGTGTCTTCCAACATTTGAACATGTTGTCATTGTCAAACCGGCTTGTGGCGGCTGGGACATCATGAGTTCACTTGTTCTTGGTTGCAGATCGGTTTAGACTTCACGCCGTGGTGTGCTCCCACGCAGCAGGACAGAGACGACCAAGTGACTGTCTTCATCAAACAGCTCCACATCGCCAAGGAGCTGGAGCTTCCTGTGTGAGTGCGATAGAAGAAGATAGAAGAAGATAGAATAGAGCCTAGCTGTGCACGCTGCAGTGATTGTTCAGTGTAGTTCTTTTCATACACCTGTTCCAAAGGTCTGTTTTTATGTTGTTAATATCAGCACAGCAGAATGGCTCCTTCTCATCTACAAGTTAAACTTTATAGATTTTCTTTCTCCAGGTTCAGATGTTTTATTAGTGTTTGTCAAAAGGACAGAAATATGTAGACGGATTCATTCATACACAAAATAAACCCATGAAGCTGCAGCTGTACTGTAGCTTCTGTACAAGCTAAGCCGCCGGTCCCCAACCTGCAGGCCGACACATCGTTTGCAAAACAGAACAATTTTGGTCCAAAGTTGTAATTATGAAACAAAAAATAAAAATGTTTTTAAATGATGATTTAAAAACGTATAAAATGTGGAAGAACTCCAAACATTTCCTTACATCCATTTTAATTTCTCTCATATTTCGACCCGTCACTGTGATGAGCCGGCTGAACCGCTGGTTAGAAACAGGAAGAATTAAAAGGAGAGAGTCAAGATTATCATTGAAATAAGACGAGCTCTGAGAAAGCATTGGGCCTCTGGTATTTGACCTCTGTGTGGTTACGCCGTCGGATGTGGCCCACAAACATTTTTTAAATTTTTAAGTGGGCCCTGAGCTAGAAAAGGTTAGGAACCACTGAGCTGAGCTGTCGAGCTAAAGCTGCAAGTGATGACTGTCCTGCTGCTGAAGCACGAGCTTGGCTTGACTTCATCTGAACCTGGTTTGCACAGAGGCACGTGATCACACAGAGGTTCAATACAAACACTCAGTGTCCAGCTGGCATCCATGAGTAGTTCATGACTCATGTCAAACAGAACATCACAGAGGAAAACATTTACATGTGAAAATCAGCCATTTTCACACGTGTTGGAATCAGTGAAAAACAGTTTTGTTCTTACTTCCTGTTTCACTGTTTTCTGCGCAGGAACGTCCACTCACGATCAGCTGCTAAAGTCACCATAGAGACCATGAGAGAACAAGGTGGGTGTCCCTCCTCTGTCTCAGGTACAGCACACACAGCTGCAGAACGAACAGCTGGCAGCTATGACTTCCTCATTTCCCTCAGGTATCAGCCGCGCTCTGCTTCATAACTTTGCGGGGAAGCCCTCGGTCGCTCTGGAAGGCGTGAAGGCCGGTTACCTGTTCTCCTTCCCACCTGCTGTCTGCAGGAACCAACAGGTAGGTGTGACCTCACACTTCAGCAAGAAAACAAATGAACAAGAGTGTAAATCCATTTTGAGAGAGTCTGATTATATAGTGACGTTCACCTCTCTGGGAACACTCTGCGTGTTAATGTGTGTGTGTGTAATGAATGAATGAGTTGACTCGTTTTCATCATGAGGGTGTTTGGTCCCACATGATCCGCTCGTGCGACTGAAACAGCTTTGTGTGCACATTTTTGCTAAATCCATAAAACGTAAACTGAACTTTGGTCGATGTGCAGTCACATAAAATATACAGATGAAGAACAGTATGTTCCCTCTGTCATGTGGTGCACTATGGGTAAAAAAACCCCACACACCTGCTCATAGAATACACACTGGGAAGTGAAAGTAATGTATGGTAGCAGGAAAGTCATAGCAACAGTGGTGGTAACCATAGTAACATCCTAAATTATAAGCTAGTGCCCTAATTCAGGGGCCACATCCTGAATACTGATGCATGAAACATACTGAATAATAAACTGTTATATTAAAAATCATCGTCTCCTCCAGATGTTTCCCAGATTAATGAAGGAAAGAAAATAAGACGTAAAGCTCCACGATGAGCAGGAAGTCACATGGTAACATCAGTCAGTTATAATGAGGAAACCACAGTGACAGTTAATTGTAATGTGACCTCAGAGAGAAAAGCTGATCCAGCAGATCCCACTGGAGCACATCTGTCTGGAAACAGACTCTCCTGCACTGGGGCTCGACAAGCACGTGAGTCTCAAACCATTCAACTTGAACACAACGTGCAGCTTCCTGTCTCTGTCCGTCACTTCCTGTCTCTGTCCGTCACTTCCTGTCTCTGTCTCAGGTGAGGAATGAGCCCGCTAACATCACTCTGTCCTGCCGGTACATCGCTGACGTCAAAGGTCTGTCACCTCAAGCTGTTCAGATCATCACTGCACAGAACGCACTCAGACTCTTCCCCAGGGCCGACACACACTGTCACACACACACATTAACACACACACATTAACACACACACACATTTCTGACATGTGGCTTGGCCTGAGGATGGTTTGAAGGTATTTAATGCACAAGTAGCAACACGTTCAGACTAGATAGATAAAGTGTGAAGACATTAGAAGTCATTAAGATCCACCCTGAGCGTGAATGTTGGGATACTTCATTCTGGACCAAAGTGACTGACTGATGTTAGGACTGATATTAAATAGATTTTTCACAAACACAAACCAATCTTCAACACCTTCAACTCATGTGAATGAGCTCATATTAACAGGTTTATTTTATTATGTCTTATTCTCGTTGAACAGTTTCACGACTCTTTGTGGAAATAATAAACTACTGAAAGTTGTGGTGTGTTCAGGTTCATGTTTGTCAGGCTGCAGCCGTCTACACCAGGTGAGATTCATCTGGAAGAGAAGAAAGGTGTGAGCTATATTCATATAATCAGAAATAATTTAAATATAGTAAATTACATCACTGCAGATTTTCAAGCTTATTGTACCACACTGGAGATGTGCACAGATGGTTCCTTTAGTTTCACACCTGTGTTGTTATTGCAGGGGATTCAGTTGAATGAATGGGCTGTTTTTAAAAGAAATATTTGCTGCTGCGTTCAAAGACACCTGGGAACTGGCACTTAGCTTCCACACAACAACCGTGTGGCTGCAGGAAACAGCTAAATTCATCATTTCCATAAACATTCTTGTCCACAATAAGAAATTTGTCTCAGTTCAGTTCTTACACAAATGTACAATAACTGAAAGAAATACAGTTTTATCACTTAAAGGCACTAAAATATAAAAATGTTCTTGAATAATGCATCATTATAATTATGATATATTGCTATATTTGACCACCTTCGTTCAGCCCCTCATGAATATGTATTATTATTAACTGTATTAATATTGTTGATGTAAATTCACATGAAAGATTTCGTACAGCTCTCCTCGAAGTGTCGTCTCTCCGGAAGTTTGGCGGGAGGCGGCGGCTCGGTGCAGGCCGCCCGGCGCTGCTGCGGTCCGGCGGCGGTCAGAGCGGTGAGGAGGACCGGGCTGGTTCGCAGGTGTTTCCGGTAGTGTCGCCTCTCGGTCCTCTCCCAGGACTGCCGGGGGTGTCCCTCCACCTGACACCACGTCTCCCTCCGCAGGTTCAGCTCCAGGAGAGCCCGCTCCTCAGGTCCGGACATCGCGCTGGTTTTTGGTGCAGCCTGTTTTTTTTTTTTTGTTTCCGTTTATAAATTATCCAACGTGTAGTCAGTTTGTGATGCTGGCGTTTCCATGGCAACGGGAAACTTGAAGAAGCGCGCCTGTGTCAAAGATCGTCTATGTTAGAAAGCATGTGTCACTCTATCTAGAAAGAAGCCACCAGAGCTTCTTCGGATTTGGCACAAACATTAATAAGGACCCGGGGGTGAAATTATTAGAATTTGGTGCTCAAAGGTCAAAGGTCAAGGTAACGTGACCTCACAAATCTCGGTTTTGGATTTGTGAATGTAATCTCAAACTCCTCAAGGGATTTTGTTTAAATTTGGCACAAATGTCCATTTGGACTCCAGGATGAACGGATTAGATTTTAGTGGTCAAAGGTCAAGGTCACTGTCACCTCACCAATCACGTTTTTGGCCATAACTCACAAATTCATACACTTACTATGACACAAAATAACTCACATGTCTAATTACGATAAAATGATGAAGTGAAGACATTTTATATCCAAAAGGTCAAAGGTCAACTTCACTGTGACATCATAATGGTCTGTAAAAACAGTGTTGTGACCATATTTCCTGCAACTTTTATCTGGTTGGTGGAGGCGTTCAACCATGAGGTGTTAATTCTAGTGTAAATACAGACTTTACACTAAAGTGAGTAAAAAATATGCAACATCTCATATATAATGGAGCAAATTCAGATATTCTCAACACATTTATTTATTATAAGTACCTATAAATAAGTCTGTGGACACTCTATATTATTGTTCCTGTTTAATGAAAAAAATTTCCTCCTGTGGAAAAAGTGTTTGTCATGTGACGATGACGATGATGATGATGTGCAACCTTCACTGGTCACCAGGCAAATTCTCTCTTTTTGTTTTTCTTGTTGGTACCTGAAAACAGAGACAGAGTGAGACCTCACTTCTTCCTCCAGGCTGAGGCAGCAGGGTCAGAGGTGATCTGATCCTCTTGTGAACAACTCAGGGATTTTAAGAGGCCTAACCATCAGAAACTAGTCTTGTTCCCTCTCATTGATCCTAGAAAAGTTTTATTTATTGAAGCCTCGGAAAAACAGGACCAGAGAAACTGAGTGATTAAATCAAGTTTCAGTTCATATGATGCCATTACTCTTTGTTGTAGTCTTTTACTGAGACTTTTATCCACCTCACATTTTTGTGTGTTGTGGAACAGACGTATATCTCAACAAGAGAAAATAAGATTTTACACATAAATCAATTCCAGGCTAAAGTTTATGTAGAATACGTGTGAATCACCTGTGGGGTCAGACTGCTACCTGCACCTTGTACCTGCTGCAGCCGAGTCCCACTGGGTCAGAGGATGATTAGGATTAGAGCAGATAACGGCCTGAACATATGGACATCAGCGGCCGGAGAGGAGGCACAGGAGTTTATGTGTCATTTACATTCATTTATCAAATCATATATTTGATTTAACATAATAGATTATAGAAATGATAAATGTCATTTTTTAAACTGAGATGAAACAAAGAAGTCTTGTAGTAATTCATTAATTGATGTGCTTTACTTTTTTTTTACCAGTTATAAATGCTAGTAACTCATTAGTAAGATTAATGAGTAGTAAGCATTGACGTGAGTGAACTTGCACTGTATGAAAACTGTTATAACTTGTTTATAATTGTTTATTTAGGATTTAACAACCGAATTAATAACCTGATTATAAATCCTTTATAAGGAAATGTAGTATTTAATAATATTATTATTATTATTGTTATATTAACTATAGGCTCACTGTAGAAGCTGTTGCATCATGGTTCCTCAGCTTCCACATGGTCACCGATTACATTCACAACCTCAGTATAAGATACTACAGGCTCGTGCTGCTCTACTATTGGTTCATCAGCATCGGAAGGCCGTGTGTCAGCGTCGGCTGAACAAAAGACCGAGAGAGAGAGAGAGACATAGAGAGAGAGACATAGAGAGAGAGAGAGAGAGAGGGCGTGCAGGCTCAGAGGGGCCGGAGAGGACGAGAGACAGGAAGCTTTAAGATGAGTAGCACGTGTTAAAGTGGGTTGTTTTAATGGTCATCTGGTTTCGGTCTGATTCATCTTCTGTGGAGCAGCGCGCGGTGGCCGCTAGTAACCGCACGAGGAATCCGCTCTGTTCTGCGTTTCATCGTTTCCTGTCTCGCCCCTGGTTCTCATCTCAGCGGGAAAAAGAAGAGGAAGGTAAATAAAAATAAAAAAACAGACATCATGGTTGCCGGCGAGCTCGTGCAGGAGCATCTGCGCGCGGATACCGGCGCACCTGACGACATCACGGTCGGAAGGAAGACTTCCGAGCCGGAGGGCGCAGCCGAGCCGTACGCGGATGCGACATACGGAGCGGCGCCGACGCACGGGGCGGGGGAGGTAGACAGCACCGACCCTGCGCTGGAGCAGGAGCAGGAGCAGGAGGTGGTGCCGCCGGATGAAAGAGAGGCGATGCTGCCTAACGGAGGAGGAGGCGGAGGAGGAGGGGAGGAGGAAGGGAAGAAGCTGGAGACCAGGCTGTACTGCCGGCGGTTCGCGGTGCTGACCGTGTTCAGCCTGTACTCCCTGGTGAACGCCTTCCAGTGGATCCAGTACAGCATCATCACCAACGTGTTCACGCGCTACTACGGGGTGAGCAACGAGGACGTGAACTGGCTCTCCATCGTCTACATGGTGGCCTACGTGCCGCTCATCTTCCCGGCCACCTGGCTGCTGGACCGGAGGGGTCTGCGGCTCACGGCTCTGCTGGGCTCCGGCCTCAACTGCGCCGGCGCGCTGCTCAAGTGCGCCAGCGTGAGCCCCGAGCTGTTCGGAGTCACTGTCTCCGCGCAGGTCGTCTGCTCCGTGGCGCAGGTGTTCATCCTCGGCCTTCCGTCCCGCATCGCCTCGGTGTGGTTCGGACCCCGGGAGGTTTCCACCGCTTGCGCCACGGCAGTGCTCGGGAATCAGGTCAGCGTGTGCGCGTGCCACAGATAGGGGTAGACATGCACGAACATAATACACTCACTTAAAGAGACATGGAGAGAAAAACTATAAACAACAGAATACAACAACACACACAGAGGAAAGTTTAGAAAACGTGGCTTTATAAATGTCATTAATAATCAATTAACTGTGAATACACACTAACTCTATAGATTAGTGATAAACCAGACATAACAACTTTTGGGTTGCCAGATAGTGAAAAATCCCCCTTTATCATGACACTTAACTCATCTCTCTGCGTTAGGGAGATCCCTCCAGTGGACTGTTTGCCCACTTGTACCTCCTGGGAAAGAAGTGCAGGACATCTGGACCAAAATCCAGCTGTTTATTAACTTATTTACTCCAGATGTTAAGTATAGTAGAATCCTTTATTAATGCCATACTAACGTTTATAACTGCAAACCTGATAGAGAAGATATTCCTTTATTAGTCCCACAGTGGGGAAATTAGCAGTGTTACAGCTGCAAAGTGACAGTACAAAGAAAGAAACTGCAAAATGTATAATAGATATCATAACATATTAAACAGTGTGGAGCCCTAAGGACCTATGAAAGGTTTTAATGTACATTGTTAAAAGCAGTTTATAAATGGATGTTGGTCCAGGTGTCCTGCAGCCATTTCGCAGGAGACACGTGGTCAAACAGTCTCCTAATGAATAAAAGTACTATTTTGAAGGTGTTGGGCTGTAGGAGGATTCTCCACAACCTGGCAACCCTTTATTAATGGCCAGATGAAGGTCAAATGTGTCAAAACATTGTTGTGGTTGTTAGAACAATGAATGTCCTGGTGCTACAGAGACCCTGATTTACAGATCACATTAGCATAAGGAACATGTCCTCCAGTATCTGCCAAAATAACTGCAATATGATATTTCTATAACTGATCTATAAAGCATTAGTACAGTGTCTTCCTTATTATATAAAGTATAAATCGTTAATAAAGCCATTAATTACAGCTTATAAACCCTTGAGAAATGGTGCCTCAGTGGTACTGAAAGTAAAGAACCACACTTTCAACACAATGAAACATAACAGACCAGAAATGCTTCATCTTTGAGTAATCGATAAGGATGTAGTCACCAAACACCCAATTTAAATCTGTTATATGATAAAACAGTGTAAAAAGAACAATAACAGTGTTATAACACAATATTATTCTCTCTCTCACACTCTCTCTGTGTCTATGTCTCTCGTCCACAGCTGGGAACAGCCATAGGCTTCCTGTTGCCTCCGGTTTTAGTTCCCAACACGCCTGAAGACGACGATCTGACAGGTCACAACATCAGCATCATGTTCTACGGCACCGCTGCCGTCTCAACTGCTCTCTTCATCCTCACCGTCATAGGTACAAACCAGAGTCTCACACACACACACACACACACACTCAAACACGGCCTTCGCATCATGGGACTGTGTGCTGCTGCCATCTGCTCCAGTTGCAAGGGATTTGTGGTTCAGTAACCTCAAAGTCATGTGAGGTGACCACAGACCTACCTCCATGAGAAAAGAGGTGTGTGTGTGTGTGTGTGTGTGTGTGTGTGTGTGTGTGTGTGTGTGTGTGCGTGTGCGTGTGCGTGTGCGTGTGCGTGTGTGTGTCTGCAATGTAGGGTAGACTTGAAACCACATCTGTATACAGTGATAAAATATTGATTTAATTTAAATCAGGTTTTATAAAAAAGTGTTAAAGAGTTTCTGTGAGTTAGTCATTTTCGATTGGAGTTCCTCAGGGAGCCATCCTGGGTCCCCACAGACCGGACCAAATTAAATTAAAAGCCTTATTTAGAAAATCACTGTTCTCTTATAATTTTATAATTTTTTATTTTTACAGTTAATAAGCCTTGTAAATGAACCCAGACTTTACCCTGTGTGTTTACTACAGTCATAAAGGACCGGCCTCCCCTCCCTCCCAGTCAGGCCCAGGCCGTCCTCCCAGACACTCCTCCTGAGGATTACTCCTACAAACAGTCCATCATCAACCTGATGAAGAACAAAGCCTTTGTCCTGCTGCTCATCAGCTACGGTAAGAACGAGCACAAGCTGCAACGTTTATGGGAACATTTTACTTTTGTTCATTTATTTATTTACTTTAAGCACTCAGAGCAAATCTCATCTCACTGAAAACAATCAGAAGATGAAGAGAGAAGAGAGGAGATGACAGGTTTCCCAGAAAGGTCCTTGAAGAGACATAAAACCAAGAGATGTGCCTTTTAAATTGACTGTCTGGGGACAAATAAAGTTTATTGAATTGACTTGACAAAGAGAGAACAGTGGTTCACTAAGGAAACCTGGTTTGTGTGTGATTAAGATCATTACCACCATTACTTTCTCCTCTAATACTGTGACACCTACAGCAACGACTACATCCACTACCGATGCTACCACTGTTAGCATTACCCCAGCTGCCCTCACTACCATTACTAATACTGCAGCTGTTTCTACTACTACTAACATTACAACTGTGTATATACCTTCAGTATATGTTGTATTTCTTACTGTACAATTACTGCTGCTTGTATTAATAAAAACACAGAGAAAAAGCACAGATAGTTCATGTTTATGCTGGACTGCAACAGCCTTGGACCTATAATCTCAAATGCCACTGATCATATTTCCACCACCCGTCAGCCTCAGTCTACCGAGCCGCTCTGGTTTCCCAGCTGCTCAGGAACTGCAGGGAAGAGGAGGAGCACTTCCAATACACTGAGCCTCGCCTCCACTACAGCAAATAAACTACTATGATTCCATGTGTCATTATTATTAAAGGAGGCAGAGGAATAACTAAACATGAGACAGAGAGAGCAGGAGAGAGGCAGGGAGAGAGAGGATTCATCGGTAACGAGGCTTCGTACTAACGACTATCACCAACTCTACATGTCAAACAGAGGGAGTCAGACATAAAGACCTGCCTCTAATAAAAGTCTGTGACGTTCTGCAGTTGAAGTAAATAAAGACTAAACTTATGGAGGCTGTGAACTCACAGCTCAGTCTTTGTCTTTACTTCATGTGTTTGGTCATTTTTGTCAAACAACGTCACAGTTGTAAAATCAGGATTTGACCAGCGGCCCAGACAGAGACTCAATTTAGACCTGGTCTTGTTTAAAGAATGCTTTGTGTTCTTTAAACCTACTGCACCTCACCACTGTTTTTATAACTGTGCTTATACGTACTTATACGTGCTGACTGGCACCTAAGTTTTAAAATGTGGACATAACCATGTGTGTTGTGTTTAAAGACCCAGGCTCGTTAAACCCAACGAGAAACCTTTGTAGAAATCAGGATTTCTGAGGTTTACTGCTTCTACCATGACCATCTCCCAGCACATGCTGTTTCACATGACTCCACCATGTGTGACACACGCACACACACACACACACACACACACACACACACACACACACACACACACACACACACACACATTCACAACTCGCCTTGTGTTAATGATCTGTCACACTGTCGAGCTGACTCTCCTTTCCTCATTCTGTTGTTTTCTCCTGCGTTTGACAGACCAACTGAAAGAAGAGGAAGCGGCCATTTTTAATGTCACACACACATTTGACTCAATGACTGATTGTGTGTGTGTGTGTGTGTGTGTGTTAGCAGCCAGTGCCATGTACAATTAGATTTGAAAACATCAGAACCGAACCCAGACGTATTCACTGGGCACAAACTCAGTTGAGATTTAATGTTTGTGTCTGCAGGAATAATGACCGGATCCTTCTACTCTGTCTCAACACTCCTCAACCAGATGATCATCGCCTGCTACGAGGTAAAGTGAAAGACAATAAACCCGTTCATCTTCATCTTCCTTCTCCCTTCTCGCTGCACTTTCAGTTTGTTTTTTCACTTTAAACCAAAAACCATTTACAGGCTTACTCATTAATTTATTTATCTTCTAACATCACCTTGGTATAGATCTCGTGCTTGCCTAATATTACACTCCTCTTGGCTTTTATTTTGACTTTTTTACACTTCACGTCCTCTTCCTGTCTGTCCACCGACCTACGGTCTCTGCCAAATGAGAAATTAAAAAAAATGAATTTGCAAAAAACAAAATTGGAAGGTTTTTGGTTTAGAGTTAAAAATCAAATAAAGTCAGGTGAATTTAGTTTTTGGTTTCAAACAAAAATAATGATAAAAGGAATCAAACCAAAAACCAAAAATGTTTTTCTTCCGTTCAGTTTTAAGACAAAAAACAAATGAATTACAGATTATCTGATAACACCCGGATTCACATGAGGAGGGATGATGATGATGATGATGATGATGATGATGATGATGGTCACTTTGGTCCAGAGAGAAAATCTTGACGTCCACTTAATGGATGAAATAAAACTTGGTGCAGTCATTCGTGTCTCGAGAGGCTGGATCCTGACTCAGCTGATCTTTGTTTTCACCCTCATCTATTATCACAACACGACTGCAGACACAGAGCAGGTCAAACGACATGAGAATAATGGAGCAGTCTGCTTCACCTCAAACCTCAAACCTCTCTGTGATGTTCAGGTGTGTCTGTAAATGTGCCGCTCACATTCACAGGAAGAACAAAGAGAACAGAGGAAGCTCTGATGGCTTGGATGAGACATGAGTTCATTAGCTGCTTTCACGCATGCCTGCTGCCCACCATAACACACACACACACACACACACACACACACACACAATGAGAGATCCTCGTCCTCACATGAACTGTCTTTGTCTCTTAGCTGAACTGTCAGACTAACAACTTAAAGAACCCGAGCCCTGCAGTCAGCTGTTTGTCCTCTCCTCCTCCTCCTCCTCTTCCTCCTCTTCTTCTTCCTCTTCGTCCTCTCCTCAGAACCAGGAGTTGAACGCTGGGAGAATTGGTTTGACCCTGGTTGTCGCTGGGATGGTGGGATCCATCCTCTGTGGCCTGTGGCTGGACCACACGAAGACGTACAAGTAGGCGACACAAACACACACACCTGTAAAAACACTCAGAGAAACCAAATCCTGCAAGGTTTGGATGGTGGGTCCAGGTGGGCGGGGCTTGGTGACTGCTTTGTTGTGACATCACAAAGTTCCAGAAGTCCTGACAGCTGGTTTTAAGGCTCAGTTTCTGAATACAGGCTGTGTGCATTTCTCTGTGGACTGAGGCTTTGATACTTTCACAGTATTAATATAGAAGCTAGAGCTGATCTATAATCACACTACACATGGACACAGACCTTTACACTGGAGGAGCTTTAAACCTGGACCCTGACCCATCAGATCAGGTTCTGGTTCTTCGAGCTAAACTCTAGTTTAATGTGTCTCCATAGTCTTTGTTTGTAAAGTCAAAGGAACAGGATTTTTCCATCTGGTCGTTGTGTGTCTGTGTGTGGGAGACGAGAGGGAGGAGGATGAATCAGGATTGAGCAGATGATGACAGGAGTAACTAAAGTTACCTCTGGCTTGTGCTTTTACAGGATGACGACTCTGATCGTGTACAGCCTCTCCTTTCTGGGCATGCTGGTCTTCACCTTCACTCTGAACCTCGACGACATCTACCTGGTCTTCTTCACCGCTGGAGTCCTGGGGTACGACACACCTGGTCCAGTAAAACACACACCTGGCTATGCGTGTACATAAAATAGCTGCTGCAGGTCTCCAGGCTGCGCAGCGTCACAGTGTCCCAGCGTTCGCCCATGCTCTTAACTTCTAAAGTCCCAGCCAGGTTCATCACTTTTTAGTGTCCCCTGGAAACACTTCTGTTGTGTTGTAGGACTGAATTTGCATCGACGGGGGGGGGGCTTATTACACACCTTGTAAACCAGCTGCAGTCATGTGAGAGGCTCCATAAAGACGTTCACAGCTCTGACCTGCAGATTTACTTATGAATTGCAAAATGACTTTTAAAACTTGTAGTGTGTAGGATTGAATTGCACTTAAAATGGTGTAATATTTCAACAAGGTTATAAATCATCATCATCATCATCATCATCATCATCAGCGTCACACTGCGGATCTCACAACACGACACCTCCGTGTTCAAAACAAACAAAGTCACAAGGTGTGAGTGACATCACTGTTGTGGGGTTAAACACAGCTGCTGTGCAGATGTTTACATGTAAATAAGAAAATGTCCCAACCAATAAACCACATTTACATAATAAGCACAAAATGAGGAGCCAGAATTTTAAATTCAAGTAAATAAAAATGAAAACAATGTTACTCACACAGTCATTCATCACATGAATAATGTTTCATCTGAATCTGCTACAAGGACAGAACTGTGAATGTTACATGAACATTAAAGGTGTTCAGTGTCTGTGTGGATGTAAATATAAAGACCAGTTTATTAGTCTGACGTCTGTGTTGCAGGTTCTTCATGACGGGTTACCTGCCTCTGGGCTTTGAGTTCGGGGTGGAGATCACCTACCCCGAGTCCGAGGGGACGTCGTCTGGACTCCTCAATGCTTTCGCTCAGGTGCCTCAAAGTTCCTAAAAAACAAGACGTGCAGGAGTTTCCCTCCAATAAATCAACTTTGTCTTTGCCTCAGGACTCAGCTGAGTGTGTGTGTGTGTGTGTGTGTGTGTGTGCAGATATTCGGGATCATTTTCACTCTGATTCAGGGCAAACTGACCACAGATTACAACCCAGTGGCTGGAAACCTCTTCCTCTGTGCTTGGATCTTTCTTGGGATACTGCTGACTGGTAGGCTCTGAGCGTGTGTGCGTGCGTGTGTGCGTGCGTGTGTGCGTGCGTGTGTGCGTGCATGTGTGTGCACGTGTTTTCATCTGTGTAACCAAATATTAGACCTTTAATATTCCTCTTCCCTCTGTTTCAGCCTTAATCAAGTCAGAACTGAAGAGACACAACGTCAACATGGGTGCAGACAGCAACCACCTCGCAGTAAGTACACCACACACACACACACACACACACACAGATATATATATATATATATATACCCATTGCCACCAAAAGCTGAACATTATAATTATTATTATTATTAATTCAAATTTTAAAGGGAGGTGACGTGCGGATGCTTTTAAGCCAAAGTGGCTCCATTAGAGTGGTGATTTAGTAAGATCTACAAACACAGCTTCTTATGTGAAAATGGCGCCCAGTCAGTGAAGTGAATATTGATGTTCTGGCAGATACAGTTAAAAAGAATAACGTGGGCGTGCAGCTGGATACTGCTGCTGTTTTCTTGTGTCTCTGTGGAGAAGCTTTCAGAGAGGACACATTTAATCTGAGTGTCTCTTTCCTGACCTTATGTCGAGACAGATTCTTGAACCTCCCCCCCCCACACACCCCCCCCGAGCCTCTTGTCACTTTGGATGTTAACACTCTTTTTCTCCTGCTCTGTACAAACTGTCCTCTAAACACACAGAGCTGTGAATTTACCCTCGACACCATCCAATGATTTCTGAAGGCGCCCTGCAAAGTTCCCTTCAGACGAGCCAGGCCCAGTAAATCTGTTTCAATGGGCCTTTGTTATGCCCCCCCCCCCCCCCCCCCCCCCCCCCCCCCCCCCCCCCCCCCCCCCCCCCCCCCCCCCCCCCCCCCCCCCCCCCCCCCCCCCGCTGAGTCACAGCTGAAGTGTCCTCAGTTCATCAGACCCATCCTCTTCTTCCTCTTCTTCCTCTTCTTCCCCCTCCCTCTCCTCCTCAGCTCAGTTTTCTGACTTCCCTAAGAGATCACAGGTTTGAGATTTAAAATACGGATTATGAGATATAGAATTAACATTTTTTACATTTATTATTGTTTTCAATTTCAGTTAATTAAATATTTTCTGTCTGAAATTTGGCCTCTGAAAATAATAAGGAAATGAAAAAACCTGTGAGGTGAAAGTCATTGTTCCTCTGAGTCACGGGTCACGTTTTACAGGGTCACCCGTTAGTTGTGTTTTGCTTTGGCGCCCTCTGCTGGTCGTATCATGAAAGACGCTGTGGTAGACTGAGATACAGTGAAAGACCATGTTCACAGGGAGTGAACCTTTCATCTTCAGAGTAACTGGAAAGATGCTGTCGTCACAAAATTCGACACATCTCGAAAACTGAAGTAAAAGATTTTTTGGTCGGCGTCTGTCAGAATACGGGGGAAATCATGATATTTAAAAGTTAACTCTACAGCACATGTGGTAGCAGCGGGGACTGTATATCTTTATTCTGTAGTTATGGGGAGCAACAAAAGACAGAAAGAATCACCTCATGAATTTACCTTGAAGGTGAATTTATTAACAATCATTAGGCTGAGGAATCTGTCGATGCATTCTGACGTGCTAGCTTCATCAAAGCAGAAACCTCATTGTGTTGATGCTCTGAGCGCTTGAGTTACTGTTGTGCTGATTGCTCTCAACATTTATTTATCAGCTCCCCACCGAGTGTCCCGGGGACTGTCCTTCAGACAAGACGACCAACGGAGTCAAGCTGGAGCCGTCGATCAGCTTCTCCCGTGAAACCTCGTTGTGACCCTGCCAAGTCCCTGAACTGCAGGACGATACGGAGGTGTCCCCCGCTGCCCTGGGAAACACGTTGGCGCCACAGTCGACGTGATGCATTTAAAGGTGCACTTGATTTTTATTGCCAAGTATAATTTCCTCGAAATCTGGAAAGCCGAAGGCTCTGGATGTGAGCCAGGTCTAATCAAGCACAGCCACAATCTACACTGGATTCAGGCCGGGGTGGGGGGACCAGCATCGATCAGAGGGAGGACCCAGGTCGTGCTCCCAGACACTTGCAAAGAAGAAGCATTACCTCCAGTTTTGGGTCGGTAAGAAAGTGTGTAAGCCATGGCCATGCAGAAGAAGCTCCACTGCACTTTAACTGTGTTGTAGTTTGTGAAAAGTGGCGTTTTTAGTTTGGTTACCGGATGCAAATCTGACTTCGAAGGAAAACAGAAGTCGTGGATCATGATCACAAGGTTCGCTGCAGTAAAAAGAAAAGACTCCAGTGACTGTGGAGGAGTCACAGCAGCAGGTGGAGTGTCGCAGTCTGCAGGTGTCTCTGAGGAGGGAAATAAAGAGCCATTCTTTTTGGTTTTGTCCTGCGGCCTCTGCCCACCGCACAGCGCCAACATTTCCTGAGTTTACTTGAATTATCCTTTGATGCTCTGGACTGCAGTTGTCAGAAACACTGTAAATGTTATCGTCTTTTCATTTAGTCTCCGTGAACCTAGAGGATCTTTGATTCACGTTCATACTGAAACCTGTTCTGAAGCTGCTTCAGCTTTGGAAAAATCAACATAAATCATGTTTATTTTTCTACAATGCTGCATTTCTGACAAGCCAAGAAGCGGCTGCCCATAATTTAGCATAGTTAGCATTAGTCTGCGCAGTAAGTCCTATAAGGTCTAAACAAATACAAAGTGCATGAAAGTAAATGCATCTCTCACAGCTGACATTGTTTGAAAGCCACAGGTTTTATTTGCAGCTTCTTTTTGACACAGGTTTACACATGAATGTGCTTTTTATTTGCTGGGATACATAAATATCTGGAGTTAAATCTTCCTGTTATAGCTAAAAAACAAAAATCCAACATCCAATCACTGAGGTGAAACAGTAAAATGTTTGGAAGAATTTAAGATTTGAAGGTGCATCCCTGAGGGGAGTGGAGGGAAGGTGAAGGAATGTGGAGATAGTTTACTCCATGTATGAAAGGGCCCTGACATTAACTATAACCAAAAATCACAACACTAGAATTTATGTGATTTTAATTGTAAATTATAAGTGATTCTCAAAATGTTTGGGTCCCTGTCTAGAGGCCTATTTATTAACTAATTTATTTCATCCATCATATTGTTTTTTATCATGTCAAAATCTCAATGTGAAATCACAGTAAGTCCAGTGACGCCTTGACGATACCTTGATTTGTCTAATTAATAAGGTTAAAGAAGATAATGACAGGAGAGAAACAACTGTCTGCTGTCGTGAAGTAAATATGTACTGTATGTTATATGTGAATGGCTTGTACAATGGCTTAAACCACTATGGACCAAACAGAATGTGAACATGTTCTGAGTTCAGTGCACAATAAGAAATAACACGCACAACGTCACGTTTTATACTCAAGTGCATGATTTCAGGTGTGTTTTTAATGTCGGCTGCTCTCCGTTGTTACACTGAGGATCTGTGGGTCAACTCGAGCTGCTGCTGGTGAGACATGGAGGCATGACAGAGGGCATAGCGCCATCTTGTGGGTTTTCCACAGTAATGACAAAGTAAGCAGAGTGGATAGGAGAAGCACAAACGTGTAACATAAGACTATGCTAATTTATATTTTCAGATCTACCAGTTTGTTTTAATTCTATCAGATCATAAAGGGCCTGTGGAAGGACTTTTGCTTTATTTAGCCTCTTTTTAACCATTTAAAACTCAAAACTTTTCTTTTTACCTACAGCTTCTGAAGTTTCAGAACATGTAAAATCTGTTTTTAGCCTTTTCCATTCTCTGTTCAAACTTTTGCAGCCCCTCCTTTACCAGCTACAGTATTAGTGGTACATACATTCATGCACCAATAATTTAATATACCTTTTTTCTCTGAAATGGGCCCATTCTGCATAATAAGTACTTTTATGTTTGGTACTTTACGTATATTTTGATGCTAATACTTTTAAAATTATGAGTATTTGTAACAGGTAATGATATTTGTTTCTTAAGTTTCAGATGACTTTTGTTTTTCTCTGGAAACTAAAATTCAATTTCACTCTGCAACATTTTAAAAACAATTCTGTTTCAGTGACATTATATTATTTACTGTCAAGACTTAAAAAGTTGATACGTTTCCAAATGAATCATCAGAAGAATCAACAAACTGTTTATTAATTAATGGCATTTGGCAATGACGTGATTTTTCACAAAATTACTGTGTCACACTGTAAAACAGCAGAAAGGCATTGTACTTATATGGCCATAACATAACCTTAATGTTTCAATATACTATTCCTTTAACATGTTTGCGTGTTAAATCTTCTTTTTGGTTGAAAACATTTGGTTCTGTTTTTTTTCCAGAAATTGAAAATGTTTTCTGTGTAAACTTGTAGGAACGACTGATGCTTTCTTCTGTTGTGTGGTTCTTAGTAGATGAAGATCTAACAGTTCTTTTTTGTAACAGGAACTTTTATACAGCTCTAAAGTCTTGTTTGTAAAATTTTATTTGTTTTGTCAAGTTAGGCTATTTATTAACAATGAATATGAATAAATTATAGCAAATAGCACTGAGTAAAATTATGAATGGTCTTCAACATTTCTCTATATGACCAAAAAAGATTTTTCAAGAGAAATCAGTAAAAGATACTTGACTGCTGCTACAATCAATGTATTAACCCCTCTTCTCCCCCAGCTCTGCTGTATCTATGAAACAGATCATTTGGATTTAAAGGCTGTTTTACAACAGGATGGAAGGATGTTTTTATGGCTGTGGGCAAAGGACAGGCTGTAGTTCACAGCGTAACCTGACGACAGAGGTCAAACTGTAAATGTACAAACGTCTCATTTGTGTATCTTCCATTCGTGTGGTGCTGTATTAAGTATTTCCAGAAGCAGGATAGTGTGTGTCAGACTGAGTCTAAATAAACTACTGTGTCACCTCACCCAGTGCAACAGTGTGGCCCACTGATGTGTTTATGGACACAGTGGAATAAGATGTTGGACTATTTGGAAATACACATAATACTTGTTAAAATGATCGATTAATTGTTGGTTTGGGTCTTTTCATGGGATTTGTTGACAATAAGAAAAATATAGAGTATTTCCCACCTGCAGTGCAGATACTTGGTTTGCGCAGATTGTTGCTTTGTCTAAATGTTCCCCACTATTTAAAAATGTAAATGTCATTTAATTTATCTGTGAAGCTGTTGGACCTGCGGTTACTTTAAAATCAGTCCAAACACTGTGGTGGGATGTTGGAGAAACTTGTCTGTTGCCATAAATACTGGAAAAATATTATATGCAGATGACATTACTCTGTATGTGTCTGTTGAAACTGAGGGACACTGAGTAAAATTACAACAATAAAAGCATTTCTCTCCATTCACTTTATCCAGTCACTGAAAATATAGTGGTTTATAGTGTTTAAATAGAATATTAGACTTTTTCCTATTATTGTAACTAACAGAAAGACACCTAATTAAAGGTTTTGTAAATGATCATCACTGCCACTAGATGTCGCAATAGACCAACAGCATCTCAGACCAAAACAAACACTTCATGCTCAGTTAAAGTGTCCACTAAACACACAATAGGAAGTACAACTGAATAAAGTTACCCTGTGAACATGAGACCCAACAAAAATAAAACAATCCAGCCATAACCATTAGCCCAAGCTAGCATGCTCCACAGCAATGCTAGCAGTTAGCCAGCTAGTCATAGCAATATTTGCCAAACACATTCATAAGACGGGTAACAGCAAGTTAGCGTTATCATGTCTACTGTAGCCGTCAATAATGAAAACAGACACGTAATATGAACCATCAAGGTACTGACACATGGAGCAGAATAAAAACCAGTTCTGTGTCAAGCAGCTTTTAGGGTTCTCCATCTCAGTAAAGTCAGACCAGTATTGGCTCCATGGACTGGGTCGGACTGGGAAAGAAATTCTGCCATGGACTGATCTGCTAGGACCAGACTCACGGATGACACTGACAGAGCCAATAAAGACACTGATGGAGCCTGTAAAGACTTAATGGATGTTTTGACGGTCCACCGGCCGACCAGGATTTGAGCCAGTGGTCCCCACGGCCAGTTCACTTGTGCTCTGGTTTCATCTCTTTCTTTGTCTGAGGCCTGTTTCATCAAAAAATGTGGTTTCCTCAGTGGAATTCTGTAAGATCACTTTCACCTGAACGCTGCACTGTGCCATATCACCTGTGGGTGGAGCCTGTGTCTTTATAAACGTGGGGAGGGTCACAGTTTAACAGCAGAGACCCACATGCATTACCATGCACATGCTGCCAGACTGGCTACCAAAACAAAGACCAGAGAAACTCAGATTACAACACACACGGACAGGATGTGGCTTCATGCTCTGGTCAGGACGCCATCACTCCACTATATCTTTACATAGGAAATAGTTGTGTGCTGTTTAAAGTCTCATTTACAGAACCTTTAAGGAAGTAAAAATGTTGCCAATGATGATGTAATTGAACCTTTCATAACTACTTGGTGATTGCGTAATGATTGCGTGCACAACACACAATCCACAACTTCTGCAATATTTCTGTGACCTAATTTTCCCACAAATTAACAGATGGTCTTGACTGTTGCTGTTTTCCGTGCTGGGGTACACGTACAGATGCCTACTGAGATCATTTCCTCAGTCTTGTGTGAATATTATCTGATATGTGTGAGTTATATTTGAGAACCAGGTTCTCGTCACTCTAAAGTGCAGAGAATAATAATCAATGATAAAAACACACAAAGAAACCAACCTCAGCCAATGTTGTTTTTTTTTTGTTTTTTTTTTAATTTCCATTAAAAAACACTGGCTGACGTGGAAAAGTTGGTTAATTGAAATGAAAAATAAAGTGAGACAAAGTGGAAACAGACTTTGTAGATAAACGTACTTCAGGAAACAAACAAATGTCAATGTTGTGTATTGTGTATTATGTTTTGCACCATTTCAGGTTTGACTGGTCCTTTTTTTAATTACTCATTTCATCTCACAGCACTTTCTTCTTCAGTGGTTTAATGGAGACCACTGGAGAAAAAGCACCACCAACTTTTTATCAATCTAACTCATGAACTCATTCTTTTTAACATTTGCACAACATTTGGATGGAAACCCAACCTGAGATACAGTTTACCATCCGGCAACAGTCATCTGACTGAAGATTAATATTTAACATATTTTAATATATGTAAGTAAGTTACACATTAAGTGTGATGGTAAGGATGTTGAAAACTGGTATATGAGCTACTTTTCTCATATACAAAGACAACGGAGCAGAATTTGCATTTGGTTTATTTACCAAATGTGACTTAGCATTTTTAAAAGTGAAATGAAATACTCATATGTTGGATATGACATTGGTGTACTATCTGTTCATCCAAATCATTTAAAATGTTCCTTCAGTCATTTCAAACAATGTATTAGTTCAATCTGAGTAAGTCTGTGCAAGAAACACGTCAAAGCAAGGAAGTCAAACGCTCTTAAAATGGAATTTCTAATTTTCTTTGTAATGTTCAATCTGACACAACTGCAGTTTGCAAAACACAAGTGTCTTTGAATAGTGGCTGTGGTGTGCAGCCTGTTGAGACGATGTGATGTAACCCTAACAATCAAGAACTACGATAAGCTGCCTGGTGATGCTGTTTGACGTTATATTTTTATACAGGAAGTCAACTTCAAAAAGGAACCTGCACCGTAACACACAGGTCTGTAGCAGAGACCAAAGCTTCACACAACTTCTGCCTGTTGACAGAGATGGGACACACAATGGCTCTATTGGTTTTAATCTTCATTTTTCTGCTCCAGTCTGAAGGTAAAGCTCTGTTTTCTCATTAAATGTTCATCAGAATTTCACAGAAATGTTAAATATTTATTGCTATTAAATAAAAGTTTGTGTGTAAATCTGCTGTCAGTTTAGAAAACCACAATTTTCCTGCCTTGAAGACCATTTAGATAATGTTTGATAAGCTTGTAAAAAGCCTGTAAAACTGTGAGAAAAGTAAAGTGTAGCAAATATGTGTCAGTCAGGTTTAGATCGATTCTCAAATATAAAGACTTAAAAGATGAAGATAGTGTCAAACTAAACAAATAGTCTCCTCAGGACAACATCAAAGTCCAACTATTTTTATCATTGTTATATTAGTTTATTATTGTTGTTGTTGTTGCTCTTTCCTTCACCACTTCAGCTGAAACTGTTGTGAAACTCAGTTTTGCTGTTGCATCAGTGCAACAACACAATTGGCTCCTTGGTGGAGGGGTCGGGATATGTGTCACACAACCGCCATCTTTGACGTCACAGACTTTTCTATTGAGGATTCTCTAAGTTGTTCGTCTCTGCCAACATCCAGTGGTCTTTGTCTTCCTTTAACCTTTGTCTTCCAATCTGACAGAATATTCAAATACCTACAGTACAAATGAGTTGCACATATTTTCTAAATACAGTGTAAATAAGAGTGAACACATAGAGACAATAACATCAGATCAGCAGATTAAACGTGATATATTCCAACAGCTCGTGATTGTTACTGTACATGATTATGAAGTTATTCTCTGATATGTCGTCAGCCACTAGGGGGGGTTGGTTGTCATGTTCCTGCTCTGTGGCTGCAAATGTTAAAGTCCATGATACTTTATGTTTTGTAAAATGTTTTACTGTGATTGCAGATGATGATGAAGTTTACAAAATATGTTTTCTTTACTTTGCAGCAGGCATCAGTGAGAAATATTTCTACAACAGACCTGGAGATGATGTCATCCTGCCATGTGACAGTGTGTCATCATCTGATACATGTTCCAGTGTTTACTGGTTATTCAACAGACAGCAGTCTCACAGTATACTTGAGGTTGAGAGAGGAAATGTTGTGATGAACTCAGCTCAAGCTGCGAGAGTGAGACTTGACAGTAACTGCTCTCTGCTCATCAGCAACATCACTGCTGTGGATGCTGGTTGGTACACCTGTCGGCAGGGGAAGACCAGCCACGTCGAGTCATCAGTGTTTCTAAATATTCTGACAAGTGAGTCTCATTTCTATGAAAATTTTTTACATTAAACTCTGACTCTGTTTTCATGAAAACAAATGACATGAAATGCAGTGTCACAAATGACTGCAAATGACAAGTGATTTAAATGAAGTTTCTGATGAATTCTCTCGACAGGTTTCCTTTTACGTTTTATTTCCTTGTTGAGTTCTTGTTGTTGAGTATTGAAACACCATTGAAGGGTCTTGATCCATCAGATTCAGTCCACTGTCATATCTTTAGTCACATGTTAAATCTGTTTCATGAGGAAAATCACTCAGTAAAACAAGAACAAAAGAGTAAAATAAAGTTTATAGCACATTTTGTACAAAGTTAAGAGTGATGATGTTTTCTCTCAGTCTCTCCATCTCCACCAGACGCTGATCAGCAGAGAGACGATGACGTGACATTACGCTGCTCTCTGTTGAAATACAGAAATCTCTCTCTCTGTGAAAAGAACAGAATCCGCTGGGTGGATGAGACAGAAGCTGAGCTGCCTGGTATCCAGAATGACTCTGTCCACCACACGGTCTGTGTCTCTGTTCTGAAAGTGAAGCGTCACAGTGGAGACAACAAGAAATACACCTGCCAGTTTGTTGATGAGAGAAACAGTGTGATGATACAGACTGACTTCACACCTTTGATCAAGGAACCTAATTCAGGTGAGATAATATGCAGCCTGCAAGATACAAAGCTCTGCATCTTGGTTGAGATAGAATATTTTTATAACACCAATATCGTAAATGTGTAACATGATGTTCAGGAGATTATTAAATATTGTACTTTATTATTAACTGACAGGTTGCTCTCCTCTGAGCTTCATCATGTTGTCTCTGAGATTTACGGGACTTTTCCTGATTGCTGTTTTTCTTCTCCACAGAGACAGAGGTGAGAGTCTGATCATAATACAAGAGCTGCTTAACATAAATCTTTAAATTTGGATTTTGAACTAACTTGTACTTCTTTATATATTTTCCAGCCAACCTGGCATCACTTGCTGAAAACAACGTGGGTGAAAAGAAACAAATATTATTTCAGTTTGTTGTTGTTATCTCTCTGTCTGTTATATCTCTCTGGTGGAAACAGTTTTCCTGAATCTATTTTTCGTTGTGTTGTATTTCACAGGTGAATAAAGAAGGCGGCAAAGTCAAGTATGAAAACGTAGAAGCAGTTGCTGCTACGAGCCAACAGCACTGATCAACAACCTCCACACCAACTTCAACTCACGAGACGGTCGAATGTTCAGTCATTTCACTAAGTTATAAAAGAAATAAATTCAAAGCCATGTTTACACTTCAGCACTTCTGATCCTGAGCTACAGCTCACCATGACTATAGTCTGCTACTGTCACTGAGAGCTGGAGGCATCGAGGAACAACAGCACCATCTTGCGGGTTTCCTAGCAACAAACTGTCGGCAAAGTGACATTTAACTCCTCCATAGCAGAAGCCTATACTGCGTACAATTTAGGGTTTTAGATCCTTCGTCACATTTAGTCTCTGTGTAATAGAAGCTGCTGTCAAGCCTGTAACTGTGTCCACTTTGCTTCAAGTAATCTTTGGTCAGATTGGCTGCTGAAGAGTTCAACTTCAGCTTCATGTTGCTTCTTTAAACCATCTTAACTTGATGCTTTGTTAAAATGACATGCTCATGAACATTACCTACATCAACCTTCTACAGTGTCAAAAGTGTATATACCTGTATAATATTTCAACCTTTGAACCAAAGAAATGTGCTCTATAGATGAAATACCTTGCTCTTCCTTTTGTCTAAATTATTCATTAAAACATTAAAGATGACCTATTATGACTTCCTGAATTTTCTTTTTACTATAGTGTGTTAAAGCTTTTTGTGAATATAAATGGTCAACAAAGGCTCAAGACTTATTGTAGCTACATACCAAAGGGAGTAACTCTGTCAGGGCAAAAACTAATCCTCTCCTTACAATGAAGACCAGTAGGAGTGTTTTTCAGTCTTGTAGCCAAAGACACTGATACTTCAGTCACTATACACTCCATGTAGTTGTAACCCGATCAGTATAGAGGGCTACTGAACATGTTTATATCGTTCAATATTGTGTCATAGAGATATTCATAAGAAATACAGTATATTTTGTTATGTTATGGAAGTGTTAATTTCATTGTTCATGTAATTGTTTGTTTAGAAAGAAAGTTTTAATGAGATCATTAATCTGTGATACAGCTGTTTAGAGTGTAATGACAGGAAGTGCCGCTTTTTCCGGAGTGTGCCGTGAAGTGCACACAGAGTGAGGAGGGAGAGAACGGAGGGAAAATACTTTTATATTTTCCCCGCCATTTTTAGACTGAAAAGTTGTTAGACAGCGACACACGACTTTTATTTCTCCTCGACGGAGTAAACGTCAGGTTTTTACCGTGACTTGGTGAGTTGAGACCTTCAGATGTGTGAAGTTTATTTCACGAGTGAAATGCTAACGGCTAATGCCGCCGATCAAGCTAGCGCTGCTCATTACAACCCTGAGAGATTAGTGTTTTCGTGGGAAATGTAGTTGAAGCTGTAACGACAACGAACCTCTGTGAAATTTATGCTGGTTGTTAAAATAAGGTGATGATTTCTGTGTGCTGCGTGTGCTGAACATGTTTACATGAGTGGTAGAAATACAACGCACTCAAAGATTTCTCTACTATAGTTTCCTCATGGCGCCATGCTGCCACCATTTCAAGGCTTCTGGAGAGAACTGCACTTTGTTACTTTGGTAAGAAATCCCTTATCAATGTTCATTATTAGAGAAGGAAAGTGTCTACACTGTAATAATGATAATACATTTTATTTGTACAGCACCTTTCATACTAGAAATGTAGCACAAAGTGCTTTAAAACAAAGATATGACCTGCACCAAGTGCTTCACATTAAAAACATTAATGCAAAATGAAATAAAATAATAAATCATTAAAAAAAGCAGACATTTAAAAGAAGTGCTGAGCATAAATGTGGTGCAAAGTGCTAAATTTCAGAGCTAGTGAAAGGCGAGAGTGAAGAAATACGTTTTAAGCTTTCTGTTAAAAATACTTCGTGAGCTAGCCTCTCCGATATCTATAGGTATATATATCTGATATCTATGTATCTATATCTGATATCTATGTAGCTATATCTTATATCTATAGGTATCTATATCACATATCTATGTATCTGTGTCTGATGTCTTTATCTATATCTGATATATAGGTATCTATATCTGATATCTATGTATCTATATCTGATATCTTTATCTATATCTCATATATATATGTATCTATATCTGATATCTATAGGAATCTATATCTGACATCTATAGGAATCTAAATCTATTATCTATGTATCTATATCTGATATCTTTGTATCTATATCTGATATCTATGTATCTATATCTGATATCTATAGATATCTATATCTGATATCTTTGTATCTATATCTGATATTTATTTATCTGTATCTGATATCTATAGGTATCTATATCTGATATCTATATCTGATATCTATAGGAATCTACATCTGACATCTATAGGAATCTATATCTGACATCTGTAGGTATCTATATCTGATACCTATAGGAATCTATATCTGACATCTATAGGAATCTATATCTGACATCTATAGGAATCTATATCTGATATCTATAGGAATCTATATCTGATATCTATGTATCTACAGTATATCTGATATCTATAGGTATCTATATATGATATCTATAGGTGGTGTGTTCCAAAGCTTATCTATATCTGATATCTATAGGAATCTATATCTGACATCTATAGGAATCTATATCTGACATCTGTAGGTATCTATATCTGATACCTATAGGAATCTATATCTGACATCTATAGGAATCTATATCTGATATCTATAGGAATCTATATCTGATATCTATAGGAATCTATATCTGACATCTATAGGAATCTATATCTGACATCTGTAGGTATCTATATCTGATATCTATAGGAATCTACATCTGATATCTATAGGAATTTATATCTGATATCTATGTATCTACAGTATATCTGATATCTATAGGTATCTATATCTGATATCTATAGGTGGTGTGTTCCAAAGCTTTGGGCTGTAACTGACGAAGGCTGTTGTTGGGAACCTTCAGTAAAGCAGCAGTAGATGACCTCAGTTTTCTCGGAGGGACATAGTTAACCAGGGAGTTAGCGATGTAGCTTGGTTCTTGCCCATTAAGGTCTTTGTATACAAGGAGGAGCTTGAAATCACAAAATGCTAATGTTAAAAATGTTTTATTTTGATGGATTAAAGGGATAGTTTGGATTATTTGATGTTGGGTTGTATGAGGTATTCATCCATAGTGAAGAGTGTTACCTGCACTAGATTCATATCAGCATGCTCCCAGTTAAGAGACCCTACCTGCAGCACCTGTACACAAACAGGCCGATGTGTTACTGTGGGCGGGGCCAGCAGAATAAAAGTTTGAGGCACATTTAAAAGACGCCCACCGAAACAATCTGTTCCGGTTCATCTTCCCGTGAAAACAGCACTTTCATTTGGCACTACATTTTTTCAACCACTGAACTACCATATTCCTGAAGCAACATGATTTAACCACAGGGGGGCGCCCGGCATCAGTGATCGATGAAACAAGAAGCACAAGTTGTGGCAGCAGACAGGCAAGTGTAATTTTCACTGCTGTTTTATTCCATTTCGCCACGTGTTTGTCTTCTATTTTATTCTACTAATCTAATTCAATATATCCATTACTGTGCACTATCTCCAAATCATTTAAAATGTTCCTTCAGTCATTTCAAACAATGTATTAGTTCAATCTGAGTAAGTCTGTCCAAGAAACACGTCAAAGCAAGGAAGTCAAACGCTCTTAAAATGGAATTTCTAATTTTCTTTGTAATGTTCAATCTGACACAACTGCAGTTTGCAAAACACAAGTGTCTTTGAATAGTGGCTGTGGTGTGCAGCCTGTTGAGACGATGTGATGTAACCCTAACAATCAAGAACTACGATAAGCTGCCTGGTGATGCTGTTTGACGTTATATTTTTATACAGGAAGTCAACTTCAAAAAGGAACCTGCACCGTAACACACAGGTCTGTAGCAGAGACCAAAGCTTCACACAACTTCTGCCTGTTGACAGAGATGGGACACACAATGGCTCTATTGGTTTTAATCTTCATTTTTCTGCTCCAGTCTGAAGGTAAAGCTCTGTTTTCTCATTAAATGTTCATCAGAATTTCACAGAAATGTTAAATATTTATTGCTATTAAATAAAAGTTTGTGTGTAAATCTGCTGTCAGTTTAGAAAACCACAATTTTCCTGCCTTGAAGACCATTTAGATAATGTTTGATAAGCTTGTAAAAAGCCTGTAAAACTGTGAGAAAAGTAAAGTGTAGCAAATATGTGTCAGTCAGGTTTAGATCGATTCTCAAATATAAAGACTTAAAAGATGAAGATAGTGTCAAACAAAACAAATAGTCTCCTCAGGACAACATCAAAGTCCAACTATTTTTATCATTGTTATATTAGTTTATTATTGTTGTTGTTGTTGCTCTTTCCTTCACCACTTCAGCTGAAACTGTTGTGAAACTCAGTTTTGCTGTTGCATCAGTGCAACAACACAATTGGCTCCTTGGTGGAGGGGTCGGGATATGTGTCACACAACCGCCATCTTTGACGTCACAGACTTTTCTATTGAGGATTCTCTAAGTTGTTCGTCTCTGCCAACATCCAGTGGTCTTTGTCTTCCTTTAACCTTTGTCTTCCAATCTGACAGAATATTCAAATACCTACAGTACAAATGAGTTGCACATATTTTCTAAATACAGTGTAAATAAGAGTGAACACATAGAGACAATAACATCAGATCAGCAGATTAAACGTGATATATTCCAACAGCTCGTGATTGTTACTGTACATGATTATGAAGTTATTCTCTGATATGTCGTCAGCCACTAGGGGGGGTTGGTTGTCATGTTCCTGCTCTGTGGCTGCAAATGTTAAAGTCCATGATACTTTATGTTTTGTAAAATGTTTTACTGTGATTGCAGATGATGATGAAGTTTACAAAATATGTTTTCTTTACTTTGCAGCAGGCATCAGTGAGAAATATTTCTACAACAGACCTGGAGATGATGTCATCCTGCCATGTGACAGTGTGTCATCATCTGATACATGTTCCAGTGTTTACTGGTTATTCAACAGACAGCAGTCTCACAGTATACTTGAGGTTGAGAGAGGAAATGTTGTGATGAACTCAGCTCAAGCTGCGAGAGTGAGACTTGACAGTAACTGCTCTCTGCTCATCAGCAACATCACTGCTGAGGATGCTGGTGTTTACAACTGTCGGCAGGGGAAGACCAGCCACGTCGAGTCATCAGTGTTTCTAAATATTCTGACAAGTGAGTCTCATTTCTATGAAAATTCTTTACATTAAACTCTGACTCTGTTTTCATGAAAACAAATGACATGAAATGCAGTGTCACAAATGACTGCAAATGACAAGTGATTTAAATGAAGTTTCTGATGAATTCTCTCGACAGGTTTCCTTTTACATTTTATTTCCTTGTTGAGTTCTTGTTGTTGAGTGTTGAAACACCATTGAAGGGTCTTGATCCATCAGATTCAGTCCACTGTCATATCTTTAGTCACATGTTAAATCTGTTTCATGAGGAAAATCACTCAGTAAAACAAGAACAAAAGAGTAAAATAAAGTTTATAGCACATTTTGTACAAAGTTAAGAGTGATGATGTTTTCTCTCAGTCTCTCCATCTCCACCAGACGCTGATCAGCAGAGAGACGATGACGTGACATTACGCTGCTCTCTGTTGAAATACAGAGATCTCTCTCTCTGTGAAAAGAACAGAATCCGCTGGGTGGATGAGACAGAAGCTGAGCTGCCTGGTATCCAGAATGACTCTGTCCACCACACGGTCTGTGTCTCTGTTCTGAAAGTGAAGCGTCACAGTGGAGACAACAAGAAATACACCTGCCAGTTTGTTGATGAGAGAAACAGTGTGATGATACAGACTGACTTCACACCTTTCATCACAGGTAAGAGATAACACACAATCAGTAAGAAAACTTAAATTAGGATGAGACAAAAATAATTTGACCAAAAATGGTGTCTGATTATTTTTATGTTTATTATGTAACTTCGACAAATCAATAATGTAATCAATTATTAATCAATAATTAATCAAGTAATAATTAATTAGATGATGTATTTAAGAGGAAGGTGTCTGTGTTTGCTCTGAAAACAGATGCGCTCTACATCATCAACGCTGCAGTGGTTGAGGTGGTGGTGCTGGTGGTGCTGGTGGTTCTGGTCGTCGTCACTGTTGTTCTTATCAAATGCAGGAAAAGAACCAAAGTGACAGAGGGTCAGTTAAACAGAATACTGTACAACATTAGTTTAAATATATAATACAGTATGAACTGATATGAGTTATGTTATAACATCTCATGTTAAACAGTAACGAACTCAGAGATACGACAGTTATTTCACGATTATACGATTTGAACAGCTTCTGGTTAGCTTTTTTAGCGTGCTAACTTCTTTCTTTTTTTAATGGTGAAAAACAAGGTGACAAACAGAAAATAACTCAGAAGACATTGTGACCATAAAACATAACAGTGTATAAAAATGAGATTTGAGGTGTGTGTTCGCATTATAGGATGTTCTAGTGAGAGTTGGTAGTATACAATAATGATAATAATAGTAATAATAGGCTACTAATAATAATGATAATAATGATAACAATCATATCAAATAATAGTAACAAAGTATATAGTGGCAATGAGATAAACATCGTTATAATAGCAGAATGGTATGAATATTTCTATGTACACATATAAACAGACAGTATAATAATAGTAGTAATAATAATAATAATCATACATGATGCTAGTAATATAACACAATAATAATGTAATAATATATAATAATAATAATAATAATCAAGATGATAATAATCATATTCATGTAGTAAGTGTAGCTATATTCCATTTAATTGTACAGGATTTAGATCAGTTTAAAATTGCACTCTGAGTAAAGACTCAATGTTCACCATGTCAGTGATATGATAAATTATCAACAGAACGCTCAGAGCGTCTTATTGTGCTAATCAATGGAAGAAACATATTTAATCTGAGGTAGTTGTAGCTTGTAACTCGTCAGGAAGAAGAAGCAGTGATTTATGAAGGCCCATCAAAACAAACACTTTCCATGGCTGGCATAAACAATAATATGATGAGCGAAATGTACACAATGATTATGTGAAGATGAATCATTGAAATTTTACCTTTTGTTCCAGGTGGTCGAAAACCAATCCACCACAGTGTGAGTAAAATGTATTTTCACACGTGTCTAATATTTTATTTTATATGATGAAATCACTGGAGAAATACACATTCAGCGACCTCACAAACATGTACTTTATAAATGTACTTATATGGACTCACACAATAGTAACTGTACATCCATCCATCAATATGCTTGTTGACAAACTGACTGATGAATTATGTTGCCTTACTTTTTGCTGAATTAGGACATGAAGAAGGCTTGATGCTCTCTTTAGTAAACTATATTTTAACCCTGATGCCTGGACCTTCATATTATGGTATTTGTCATTAATGTTGGTGCATGTAAAGTAACAAAAACATGATTTACATGAAACTCAGCAGAATCTGTGTAAAATCCATCAACGTTTTTAAGATTGTTTTCTTTTATCAAATTAAAATAAAAACACAGAAAATGATGTATATTTGTGCTCAGTGCTCCACCTGGTGGCAGAAGCTGTGTTATGTGTTTACACTTTATAACCAGTGTGTTGTTGCACTCAGGACGAGCCAGAGGTTAATCTGACCTACATCACTGTCAGCCATGATAATCAAAGAGCCTCCCCCGAGAGAAGGGTGAGTCACTTTATCCCTCTTATCTTACTCCAATGTGGTTTTCTATGGGTATAATGACTTAATCCTCAATTTGGTTTGGGTAGAGTATATTATCAAAATTCTTATTTATTACTTATTATGTGCAAAATGTACTCACCTGCTTACATATTTTTGTGCAACTTCTTGAAATTATATTAAAAACAATTTTGTGTTTTTAATTTTGCGGTCATGGTTTGTGTGCGGCTCATTCCTGTTTCTACATGACAACAGCCCTGTGCACAAAGCCAGGTCGAAGAAACAGTGGCCTGCACAGAGCCCTGACCTCAACTCCATCCAACACCTTTGACATGAAATTAGGAGATGTCTAACAATCAGATGTTGGTGTCATCTACGTACGGCCATAGAGGGACTCTGGAGAAGTGTCTTTTTCATAAACTGCCCCGATGTGAATGAAAACCAATGACTTACACAGTACCTGAAAATAGAAAAACCCCACAAGCTTCCTGTGTATTTGAGTAATTAAGATTATATGATATGTAGTTAATGGTCTGAATCATGTAAAACCTCTGGTTTGTGTCCAGGTCAAACAGGAGGAGAATGTGACGTATTCTACCATCAAGACTCTGTGATGAAGACAGACATATGATCCCATCCCAGCAGCTTCAATAGCAATGTCAGCTACCAAAATAAAGGAGAGGTCAGTGTATGTATAAAACCCGGTGCCAGTGTTTTCTGTATATGTCAGAGAGTGGAAAGTCACATTTGTGTCTCAGTGTTTCTATCAAATGTCAAGCAGTTGTGTATGGTTTGCTTTTGTCAGCAGTAAGATGGTTGTTCTTACAAACAGCACACTGATGGTGGAGGGACCTGGTGATTTATTACATTACCTGCATCAGTGCAGGGAGGTAAATGCATGAAGACAAACTGTAAACTACAATTCAGAACATGATTGTTTGTTACCACAAGTGAAAGTTCGTAGTGCTTGACGAGCAAACACAAAGCATTTACAGTTATTAGAAATATTTCAGTCCAGTCCATCAGTTCAGTGCTGCAACTAATAATAACCATCCTGAACAGTCAAGAGTTGTTGCGTATTGTAGCATCCAAGGGTTCCCTTCCCTTTATGTTTTTATTTGACCATTTTCTTTAGTGTCATATTGTATTAGCACTGCAATAATATGCATTAAAAAAAGGTTGATCGGATATTGTTCTCCATTGTTATGTGTTTTAGCTTGTAAGTCCTTTTTTTAAGTTTCAAGCCTGAAATCACCAGTTTTTACAACTTATTTTCTAAATCTTTGATTCAATTTATAGACTTGTGAATATTGATTACGATACTCCCAACAGTATATATATATTTTATCAACCAGTTCTCCAACCTGAACAACCACACAGGTTGTTTTTGTCAACCTCTGATAGGAGTGTCTCCTCAAATAGCGCCCCTATGGCGGAACTGGAACTTGGTCATCTGCTTCCGCTCCTGCCGTGAGCGTGCCAACCGTTTTTTTTCTCTCATATTCACGCTGCACTTCTTATGAAGACAAAACAAGAGAAATAGCTGCAAATACAAGTGAAAATACACATCCACGACTTGTCTACAAAGACGACGCACAAAGCGAAATATGGCGTTATCACTTAGCCGACAATCAGGGCAAGCCCACAGACACCATAAAGCCCCCCAACCACAAATGATCAATATATACTCAATAAGTACTGGTAATGGAAATCATGGCATGTACATTTTTGTCAATAATTATTTCTATTACTAGAAAATGCTCTAGGCCTCCGTCAAGGATGTGTACTGAGTCTTATTAAACACTGTTTAATAAGTCATATGTAGTTGCAAATATAAGGTTAACTTTTAAAGAAATCACATAAACTCAGGGGGCATCAGATTGCTGCAAACCTTGTAAAAAGCTATAATAAGACTGACCTTGATCTAATTATTTACAAAAATCCAATTATTAATGTTATAGATCTACTAATTCATGGTCAAAAACACACCTATGAAAAAACGAACTAGAAAACACTTAACAGCACATAAAATTTTTTATTGGGCATGAAAATAAACATAAATGACAATAACTGTAATAATATATAGATAATTAGCCTGCAACTACAGTAGTAGACTGAATACAAATGACTCAATACACCTCCTTGGCAGACGTCTACTGAGCGCATTTTCTAGTTTTCTATCTTGTCAAATTAGATTTAAAAATTACAATTAATGAGAACAGGCTCTCTCAAAAGTAGTTTACACTGCACAAAGGCTATTAAACTGAAATATTAAAGTGTTGAAACATTACCATAATTTATATTAATTAAAATAAGAACTTAAGTTCCATGTTTTGTCATCTATTACATTACTTTTCCTGATGATTTAGGTTTTTGCCGTGGCATTGTTTCAGTATTGGTATCAAGATATTTAGGCAGGTTTCTTATCGATCATAATTTTGGTATCATGATGGTCTTGGTTAGGTTTAGGAAAAGATCATGGTTTGGGTTAAAATAAGTACTTCCTCAACATTAGACGATCTTTGTGGTCGTTTACAATAAAAACAACTTTGTCGCTCTTCATACTATGTCACTACACTTTTCCCTTTGCTCGTGTAATAATTACTACGTCCACTAGATGTCGTCTAGCAACAAAATGTAACCATGGGTCATAATAACCTGCTGCACAGACGACCTGTGGGCTTGTTTTCATGTTCATGTTTCAAGTTTCATCTTTCAATGAATCTCCTTGGTGGTGTGTTCAAAGACAATCTGATGTCATGACATCTGAGAGTCAGCTGCTAAACCACAAATACATTCATGAGCTCTGTTGTTGGAAAACCAGTCAATAAGCACATGTGACACTGGGAAATGTTGTGATGTGTCTTGCCTCTAAAAGGTGAAATCTGAGTGTCATTCAACACATCAAGATCAAAATAATCGTTGCTAAATTATATTCCATTATAAAGTGCTTCTAATGTAATTGTAACTGTTTGATTGACCAGTGGTCAGGTAGTTGGTGATTCATCCTCTGGTGATTTGTATTTATAGACAGAAGATGTCAGAAAAGGCAAAGGATGAAAAATGCATCGAAATGCATCTGGAAATTGGAGATTTTTTTAGGAGGCAATTATCATATCAAATTTTACAAGTTTTTAAAGCAGCATATGTAGAACACACAGCGCCTTCTATCCTTAGACCCACAAATCCCATACATCCTACAAAGCACTTTGCCCCAGAAACTAAGCATCAAGGTGATATTCTTGTTATATAGGTAAGTATGTCTATCTATTTACTGCACTTGCTGTTGTTCTGCTTTCCCACACTTTGAACAGGGCAGTTATTACATGTCCAACAGTAGGGTCTTACAGTGTGGTTTTGGAGGATGAAGAAAGAGACAGTTTCAGGTTCCTCCCTGTTGTGTCATTATACTTCCTTTAGCAACCGTCAGTGCAGGTGGCTCTAAAACTGCCAGGCACATTTTTTAATACATAAACCATCATAAACGAAGTGTTATTTCACATGTAAGCTCTCTTTTGGAGGTTAACCCTGCTGGTTTTGGAGGAGGCTGGACAGCTCTTATCAGTGTCCTTCAAATGTAGTCAGCAGAATTAAAATGATCTTTGATCTGTATGTGTTCAGCTTTATTGCTGTCTCATCCTGGTCTCTACACTTTGTCACCAGTTGGCTGTTTGCCTGTGTTCAGAGGTGGATGAAGTCGACAGCTCCTTTACTGTAGTCAAAGTACAGATCCTCCGGGTCAAACATGACTCCAATACTAATGAAAGTTCTGTCAGATTTTAACTTTCAAATAATGGATTTAGTACTTGATTTTAAAATATTTAAGTATTCAAAAGTACATTTTTTATGTTAACACGTTGTTTTGTTCCACATTTAGAGAACCTAATGACTCTGAAACAGCCTACTGAATGAACTGACTGTAGAATAAAAAGCTTGTAGAATATGATACAAAGCCTGTAGACATGACCGTAAATCATTTGACTAACCACAGTATAAAAACGGCAACTACTACAAGCTGTGTTTAAAGGTTTATATGGAATTAAACAAACGTTGTATAGGTCGACATACTTTCTCAAGTTGGACGGTGAATTTTTGTAGCAGTGAGGATGTTTGGTTGCGGTAAACACAGCAAACATTTAAAACGACAGGATCTTTATCTCTAAAATTTCAAACATGGACATCAGGTCATGGTCTCTGGTGAAGAATCTGCTGCCTCATCTTTATCTCACGTCGCCATTGTTAGGACACTGCCAGGTTCAAACTGAGATGTTCAGACATGCAGCAAACTCACTTCAGTCCATGTCAATGCAAACTGTTCTATTGGCCTTACACTCAGTTTCTACCAGCTTCACCACAACTCCAACTGTTTGCCTTGAAAAAAATTTTTTTTAGTGTGCAATGGCATGAAAGGCAATAACCCTTTCACCTCATTGGTTTGATAAGCTGGATCAGATGGTTGGGTGGTTGCCTGAAGTAACATGTAGCAAGATTGAAGTGGGAGCCCCCGGCTGTAACCCTTGTCCACTTCCACAGGAAGCTTTCATTTATCCCAGAGGAAGTTGGGGGCTATGAGTTTGGGCCATGCAGGCTGCTTGGCGATTGTTGTGACCAGAGAGTTGTGCCAATTGTATTTGTAATGTAATGTAATAATTCAACAGCTTGTGATACATTACTTGTAATAACTTTGTTGATCTCATGACCTTTCCTCTAACGCCATTGTTTGGTCAATTTTTGATTTTTACATCCTTAAAGTGATGCTAACACGCCAAAGATGGCGATCATGGTGAACATTACACTTGCAAAATATTAACATGTTAGCAATGTCATTGTGACCGTGCTAACATACCAATTTTATCATTTAGCTTAAAGCCCTGCTGTGTCTGTGTATAGCCTCTGGGAACCACTAGTGTGGTGTAGACCCGTAGTCTTATATTTTGTATATCTGTTTTTATGCTGATTATTCTTTTGTTGGTGAAACACATCTGCAGCTCCTTACCCAGTATTCCTGGATACTTGGCCATCAGCAGATGTCCCCATCTCAGTGTAGTTGCTGTTGTATCAGTGCCAGCAGCAAAGAGATTCAGGACTGTCACCTTAAGATTTTCATTGTGGAAGTGACTGTTATTAATCCCAGATTGCTGCAGGTAAAGATGTTTCCCCACAGTTATTCAGGTAAATCTGACCAAAAACATTGTTACATTTCACTAGGTAGTGATGAGGTGTGACTGAAGTGTAGCCAGATTGTGTGTTGCATTTGTTTTGATGTGAGATACTGGTGGTTTAGTGCGACATCTAGTGGCAGTGACGATTGTTTACAGAACCTTTAACTAAAAAGACATTGGACATGAAGAGCTGAGTGTAAAGTGATGCATACTAAAATTAACAGCAATATTTAAACATATTTAGCTTCAATTAATGTTAAAGAAAAGTGCAGTGAATTTTTAAAAAGTCTCTTCTTTACTAGATTTACAGCAATATTTTGAAACTGTCATATTTACTTCTCTTGAAAAAGTGTTTTGATGTAAAGTTAATGTTACCTCTAAATATGAAATCTAAATGTTAATAAATTTAAATGTAAATATTAAATCTAAATCTAAATGTTAAATGTTACATCTAAATTTTGGTGAAACTAAATATGTAGCTAATGCAAATTCA